CGGTACCAGCGCTGCGCGAACCCGGCGTCCCTGCCCGGAGACAAGTCGGCGCGGAAGCTCCAGAGGCCGCCGAGCTCCTTGCGCTCGCGGGAGGGGGTGTCCCGGGGCTGCAGCATCCCGGGCAGCGCCGCCGCCCGCCCCGGGAGCAGCGGCAGCAGCAGGAGCAGCGGGCACAGCCCGGCCACGCTCCCGCCCGGCGCCGCCGCCGCCATCTTGGGTGTGGGCAGTGCCCGGCCGGGGGCGGGGCCAGGGGCGGGGCCGACCCGATCCCGGTCCCGACCCCGATCCCGTCCCGACGGGATGGGACCGCGTCCTGCCCCACGCGTCACCTGCGGGCAAAGCCACCGCTATCCTGGCGTGAAGGAACTTGTAAGTGTGGGGCTGTGCCCGGGATTGGGGGATTTCCTCGAACGGCTTCCGTTTGTTTATTTAATTATTTATCTATCCATTTATTAATTTATTTATTTATTGTTTCGTTTCTTAGGGGGTTTTATGTATTACCTACTTTATTTATTTATTTATTTATTTATTTATTTATTTATTTATTTATTTATTTATTGTTTCGTTGCTTAGGGGTGTTAAGTTATTTAGTGCCTACTTTTATTTATTTATTGTTTAAATATTTGGGAGGTTACGTTATTCATTGCCTTTATTTATTTATTGTTTCCTTAGTTGGGGAGTTAAAGTTATTCATTGCCATTATTTGCTGGTTTATTTATTTATTTATTTATTGTTTCCTTACTTAGGGCCTTAAAGTCATTAATTGCCTGATTTTATTTATTTGTTTATTTTATGGTCTTAACCTGTGCCAATGGTCTTAAGCTGTGCCAGAGGAGGTTTAGGTTGGATATTAGAAAGAATTTCTTTACAGAGAGGGTAATCAGATATTGGAATGGGCTGCCCAGGGAAATAGTGGATTCTCCGTCCCTGGAGGTTTTTAAGATAAGACTGGATGTGGCATCAGTACCATGGGCTGGGAACCACAGCGGTAGTGGATCAAGGGTTGGACTCGATGATCTTGGAGGTCCCTTCCAACCCAGCTGATTCTATGATTCTATGATTTATTTACTGTGTAATTGCTTAGGGGTTTTCATTTATTCATAGCCTGGGAGTGGGAGTGAGCAGCTGGGAACAATGAAGGTCTGATTGACTAAGATGTGTGAAGGCACCATGTGGACAAACACCAGCCTCCCCCAAAACAGACACTGTGCTGCTCTGCACTTACCATCCCTCGGGAGCTTGCACACCCCATAACCAGCTCCTCTGCCAGGTTCACACACCAACCCTCGCCAGGGCTGGGGAACCCCAGCCCTGAAGAAAAAAGAAGCAAGACAAGTTTCAGCAAACTACAGACACCCCACCCAGTGTTTATTAACTCCAGATTAGTGGGATAGGCACAACGCTGCATCCACGGGATCTCTCCCCACACTCTAAGCTTGTTCCTTCAGCCTCTTGAGCAGCTCCCGCAGCTGCTCGATCTGGGCGGACACGCTGCTCTTGGCGGTGCCGCCCATGGCCGTGTACTGCTCCACGCTGCTGACCACGCTGAACACCTGGGACACGTCGCTGCCAAACAGGGGGCTGGGGGCAAAAGGAGGGCGGTCAGTGGACAGCACGGGGGGCTCTGGGCTGCTAAAGATGCTCGTTGTTTGTAGAGGCGGTGAGAGAGTGAGGACGGAGCCTTTTTCCAAAGGGAAAGGCCTCCTGCGGCCTTGTTTCTGCAGCCTGACAGAAGCTGCTGGTGGCAGACCAAAGAGTCAGCTCCAAGGGGAGACCAAGGAAATTCAGAGCCAAATCCCTCAAGGGACTGGTGCTTCCAGGTCAGGGCATGAGTTTCTCCCAATCCCTCCCAAGAGCTGCTGCCTGTGCCCCGCTAGAGTGGAACGGAAGTGACATTGTCCCCCTTCAGTGTTTTCAGTCCCAGCAGGAGCAGCCTTGATATTCAGGCCAGGAGGATTTTGGGGTGCTGCCTGGCCCAGGCACTTTGGGGAAGGGCACCATGAGGATGGCCATTCTCAGGGAGGTTGATCCCTGTCTGTGGAGGGAAGTCAAGGCAAGGTAACAGTGACACAAACCTGATGCTCTTCAGGTCCTCCAGGCTGAGGTTATTGATGGTGGTGCCTTTGGTCTCGGCAAGGTGGACGGCCTTGCCAGAGGCAACGTGGGCTTGTCTGAACGGCATCTGCAGTGAGAAGGGGACAGGACACAGGGCCTCATCTCACTGAGCAATTCTCTGCATCCAAAGAAGTCACAGCTCCAGGTTTCTCTCTGATACTCACTCCTTTCCGAACCAAGTAGAGAGCCAGGTCAGTAGCCAACATCTCTGGGCTCAGTGCCCTCTCCATGTTCTCCTTGTTGATCTGTAGAAGGACAGTCAGGTGGAGATGTTATCATCAGCTCCTCCTTGGGGGCACATTAGTGGTCAAAGTGAGGGGAATTCCTCTGGAAAGGTCCTGGCTCTAAAAGGATGCTCTGACCCCCTAAGCAGCTGACAGAGGGGACCAAAACGAGCAGTATGGGTGAGGCACTGAAGAGTTTTCATCTTGGGACTAGAGTTTTGTTCCCTGTGTTACTGACAGAATGTGCACCATGACCATGTTCAATAGCAAAAATCTGAAGAAGAAGCCTTACTTGGAGGGTCGAAATCACTCCTGTGGCAACCTGGAGCACAGCATTCAGGGTGTCCACAACATCAAAAACAGCCTCCTTGTCCTCCTGAGTCAGAACAGGGATAGAAATGGCTGTAAGTCAATGTGATACAGCCCAAAAACCCAAAAGCCAGCTCTTCTGACTCCTCAAGAGAGCAGAAGACAGTTGTATGTGCTCAGAGAGATGGTGTGAAAACTAATAAGTGCTTTACCTGCAGGTCCTTGTTGTAAGTGCTGGGGAGTCCTTTGAGGACCATGAGAATAGCAGCCAACTGCAGAGAGAAACAGGCAGGGCAGTGAGTTACAGAGCCAGGCACATCCCCCAGCACAGGTTGAGAGCCCAGACTGGGCACTGCTCTTTATGCAGAGGGAGAAGGAAGATGCTTCAGCCCTGGCAGGAGCAGTTTCCCCTCCCACTTGCTTCTTTCTCAGGCTCACCCGTCCGAACACTCGTCCAGCTTTGCTGCGGATCAGTTCCAGACTGTCAGGATTCTTCTTCTGAGGCATCAGGCTGCTGCCAGTGCTGCAAGGAAGGTGTGTGGAGTGCAATGGTGAGCAAGACCCCCATCCATACAGACACAGCCCTTCAAAGGCAGCACATAGATCCCTCTTCCTTGTACACCTCTTCATAGTGCAGGAAAGCAGTGAACTGCTTGTCTGGAGCAGCCACACAGTCCCACCTCTCAAAGAGGAAGGAAAAAGGAGGCTCCTCCCACCCAAGCCCCTCCAGGGTGGTTTCAGCAGGCCAGCCTAAGTGATGCTGTGACCTCAGAGAGGGAGGGTTGTGGTTGTGCCACTCTGAGAGACAAGGAGTCTGTGGGGATTGCAAACCCTGCTAGTCAAGGAAGGGCTTTGGCAGCATTCCCAGCTGAGGAGGAAGTTCTGTCTGCCAGCAGTTGCCAGGGAGGAGTGTCTGGTGAATGCAGACTAGGCTGAGTTACCAGAACCAGAAATAAGTGACCACTGCTGAGAAATATTCCCCCTGAGGCTGCCCTTGTGCCAGCCTTTTAATGCTGTGTCAGCCTTGTGCACAGAGAGACCCCAACCACTGCCCCACGCTCTCAGGAGGGAAAAGCTAAGGAGAGACTGAGGGAAAGGCTTTCAGCCCGGAGTTGAGACTTACCTGTAGGCATCAGAGAGGGTCAGAAAGCCAAACTCGCTGGTGCTGTAGATGATGAGATCCTCTGCCATCTTGCTAAGGTGGATCATCAGCAGGGTGGCAACAGACAGGAATTCCACTGCAGACAAGGCAGGGAATCAGCAGGGGGAAAAGGTGCTGGTTTGCTTGACAGCCCAGGGAGCCCTGACTAGAGCTTTATTTCCTGATGGTGGATTTCAGTGCCCTTATTAAAGGAGGTTAACTGGAAAGGCCTCAGAACCTGCTTCTAAGAGTGCTGAGAAGAAGTGATGGAGTTGTGCTTACCCACAAAGTCTCTCTCACTAACAGCATCCATGCTGTTCAGGCTGATGGAAGCAAAGTCCAGCTCTGCAAGGAAGGTGATGGACACAGGAGGTCAGGCTTGGCATGACAGAAGCTTGAATGCCCCAGGGTGCCCCAGTGTGCAGGTGACTGTGAGCCCTGGAGTGGTCCCAGGAACACAAACATCCTTAGAGGGGTCTTTGCTTTTATCCCAGACAGCCAGGGGTGGTTCTGCTTATGCTCCCACCTTACAGGCACCTCCTGTCTCAATGCACTAAAAAGCCTCCTGGCTTACCAAGTCTCCTGGTATCCCACATCCTGTTCCTGAGTATCAGATCATCCTCTTATTTATTTATTACCCTCCACCTCCATACTAAGGTGCTGCAACACATGCAAAATAACATCAGGCCAATGTGCCAATGCTTCCCCAAGTGACAGATATTCTGAGTAGTTCTGTGCCTCTCAGTAACAATGAGATATTTACCACTACACAGAAGCTCTCTATCAATTCCCAGTGGGTTGCCAGCCAGAGCACCACTGCCAGGGGAGAAAGAAACAGGAGTCATGCATGATATTCTGCACATTCCAACCAAAACTGAGCTCTAGAGGCAGTCATGACACCTCTCTGAAGATTTCCCTCCCCCAGTTCATTTTGGTGTGCTCTGAAGCTCATCAAAGTCTGGAGTAAACCAGAATTTTTCTTCCAAAGAGGAAAAGCCTTTTGGTTCTTGATTTCAAGAAGGAATAAGAGCAGTATTTTTATGGTAAAGTCTTCTCCTTGGTGAGAGAAGCTGGGCTTGCCCCCTCACAGCTCTCCAGTCCCTATGGTATAGAGACCCCCGTGGTCCAGGGGGATGTAGAGATCTGCCTCTTGGTCATGTCTCAGAGCAAAGTGAGGGCTGAGGGTTACATAAGAAGTAAACTTTACCTTCCCAAAGGCAGGACGTTGATCCTCCTCTTCACCTCCCCCAGGCGCTCAGAGTCACGGGTCAGAGCAACAGCATGGCTGGGGAAGGACAAGAGAGATGAAACACCTGAAGCTGGAAAATGTCACAGCCCAGGAGGTAACAATGGCCAAAGGATGGGGAGCAGGGAGTTGGTCACCACTGCCCAACCCCTGCTGGGTTCCCAGTTGGTCAGAGCCACACAGGAACATGGGCAGGTCCTGTCCCAGTCTGCAGGTTTCCCTCTGGTTTGTCCCCACCCCCTCAGAGGGGGAGGCACTCCTGGGCTCGAGCAGAGCAGGGCCCCGAGGCTGGAGAAGGCTCCTCCAGCCAGGGCTGAAAGGTGCTGACCTGAGCAAGAACTGGCTCCATCGGATGGGCTGAGCTTTCTGCAGGTGGGTGTAGCCAGGCAGGATGACATCGATTTCTCTGCGTGGCAGAGGAGAGAAGGAGGTGAGAGCAGCTGCCAGGATGGAGGGCCGGGGCAGGGCTGTAACTCCCCCCTGCTGCTGCCCCACTGGTGTCAGTCAAAGATGAGCCTCCAGGTCTCCTGGCCCAGCAAGGCCCTGGATTTGGAGAAGGACTTACATGGCAGCGCGTTCCACCAGGGTCTTAATGAGCTGCAGGAGGTGTGTGGAGATGATGGAGAGGGAATTCTTCATGAACAGCTTCAAGTCAGTCACAACCTGGGTGAGATTGGCCACGGTCAGACTAAGCAAAACATGACAGACCTGGTGACCAAATATTGCTCAGCAGACAGCCTTGGCACAGTTATCCCCTCCTTGTTCTATGTAGTGGGAAGATGCATCTTCCTCTCACCAGATCTGTCCCTGGTCACTGTCTGTGAAAGCTGCTGTGTGCTGCTTTCCATGAACAGAACTAGAGCCTGTTCTTTTCCGTGGACTTCCCAGGTATTTGTTAAGTTTGAATCAGAGAATCTTCAACAAACACAAGTCAGTCATCAGTAGAAGGACTGATCCCAGCCAGCAGAGTCAGGGTTTCTGTGGGCTTTCAAAGCAATGTCAGGGGAGGTTTGTGGCCTTTTACCACCAGGAAGCAATCCTGCAGATCCCATTCTCCTATGTGGATGAGTCATTGCAGCATAACTAGTTTAAAGCCCAAGTACATGCTGGAGAGTGTCAGGGCATGTGAAAGATGGCATAAAAAATTCAATTAAGGACCTGAGATGGGGGAGGAATACAGAAGGAGGAAAAAAAAATAAGATTCTGTACATACCTGATCATTCCTGCTTCTTCCAGTGTGCAACTTTCCAGCTACGTCTCCAATCAGTTCCTGAGGACAAGAGGAGGATTTCTGTCAGTGTCTCTGTATTCTAAGCAAGAGACTCCACATGAGCACATCTCCCTGCCTGGAAGGGGCTCAGCTCGAGGATCCTGTGAGTAGCCATGGGATGTGTTCTGGGGAAGGGCAGGTTTGGGTTCTGTGTTTGTACAGTGACACTTCCAAACAAGGGGGCTTGGAGACACTGGCCTGTGCACTTGGGGTCCAGAGGAATTTCACAGAGGGAAAGAGGCACATGCCCTTAACATCAGGCAGATCCAGCTACAGAGGAACAGGAACAAGAGATCAGAGAACCCAAACCTTTAGCCTGCGTTCGTTGGCAGTGTGGATATCCTCATCAGTTGGTTTCAGCACAAAGACTCCTTTGGACCATTCCTCAGAGATCTACAAACACCAGCAGATGATGTTTATTATCACACCGTATTTATACCACGATGACTATTAAATACAGGGAGGCTACTGTCAGGTAAGGAGCCATTCATTCCAGCACACATCACAGTTTGTGAAGGAAAGACATACCTTTTCCAGGCCACCCAGGATCTTCTCCAGCTCAGTTTTAGACAGGATTCCAGCCTTCTCCAAGGCTTTGGCATAAGCCATGCTCCCCTGAATATCAACTTCAGACAGTCTCTGATCATAGGAAATGGAAGCATTGAGCATCTCCATGACTGGATCTGTGCTTCCACTGAATCTTCCTCCCCAGAGTTTATTCCCCTGAGAGAGAAAGAAACAAGTTAAAGAGGTCTGATAACTTCATTTCAGCTTCTGTGTACTATGTAATATCTAATGATCTGTTTATCCAACACAGTGGCCATGCCACTGTCCTTTCTGACCAGAAACACCCCTGGACTTCAGGATCTTTGGAAGTAGTTGAAGACAAGGAGAACACATCATTGTCAGTATTATTTACCCCTGAGCTGTGATGTCTAGCTCAGGAACCATCCAAGGTACTTTACCTCTGGAGGACTCTGCAGGGAGTCCTTGAAATTAATATCAGGGCACCTGGTGCCAGACCAGCATGGATTTCTCTTTTGAGGCAGCTGCAGGTCAACAACCCTTTGACAGCCTTTTAAAGGGGGTAAAAAGTAAAGCAGTAAGGATTAGAGTGAAAGTTAGTATCCTCTAAGCCCTTTTTGTGCTGTTTAACTAACAGATTGTTCTTTGATTGACAAAGAGCTGTGGGCCAGCACAAGCCACATTATGAAGTGTTTGAAGTTACCATTTGAAGCATCTCCAGACTTCATGATGTGCTTGCAGGCTTTGGTGTAAAATCAGCATGATAAGATGCACGTGGCAGAAAGGGAATTCCGGGTTCAGGAATGTTTGGAAAAATAAATCAACGAAAAGGTGTTGAAACACACGGGAAAAAAAGGGGCTTTTTGTCACCCAAAGCAGGATTCACACAGTGACCTCACCCACTCGAATGTGTCCCCTGCACAGCTCCTTCACTGGGTGACCAAAGGCAGGTACACAGTCCCAGCAGGGTGTGTGTGACCCTCTGCCTCCAGTGATTCAGCACCTGGATGGACTCACTGGCTCAGCCCACGTGTGTCACTTGTTGAGAAGCTTTTTGCTTGCCCAGGTAAGACACCCCCCAAGCTCAAACTCCGCCGGACTTGCACTGAAGTGGGTAAGAATTTTACCTGTGCACAGGCCTTACAGCTTATCAAAGACTTCAAAAGCAACTCTGCGGTGCTCTCAGGCACCAAAAAAAAAAGGAATTGAAGGACACTTGAAGTGGATAATAATTAATAATCTACTTGATTTTCTAAACACTCCTGCCAAGTCTCTTCTCCTGCTGTTCACTACAACTACCATGGACAGCAAGGAGCTGGCAGGACAGTTGTAAACTGATCTGTGCTGGGGCTTTACCAGTCACACAAAGCACTGTTGAGTAACCTCAGGAATTTTTTCCCTAGTGACTGTCTCCGTGTCTGTGCTGATCCCTGCTGAAACAACGGGCCTGAGAGGACAGCAGGAGAGAGCCTACAGAGGTAGGAGTGTGGGCAATGTGCTTTTGGGTATCTTTAAGGCAGCTTTGTCAGAAAGCTGAGGGAAGGCAGATGGGGGGATCAGAATTTAAAAAGAAATGTCAGAGGTCCTCAGCACTCATTTGTTGCCCCCGGGAGCACGGCACAGGGGATGCTAAATTAAAGGCCATTCCAGAGGTTAAGCACTGGACTGGGGAACAGAAATTTCTAGGCATGACTTAAGTATTACAGGTTTCCATCAAAGTAAGAAGTGGGTCAGCAGAAACATTGCAACACATCCATTTGCAATCAGGAAATCTAAACTGAAAGATTAATTTTAGGCAGCCGCAGGGCTCTGGTTGGAGCAGTGGCTGTACAGCCTGACAGATGATGGGCTGTAACCTGGAGCAGAGGAGGCCGGGGCTGTAGCAGCCATTTGGAAGCAGCAAGTGTGACTCGCCAAGCTGCCCGGTCACGTCTCACCAGGGAAGGAAACCGAAAACGCAGCTTTTGTTCAGGGAGGTGTTTACCCAAGCTGCTGGAAAGTGCCTCCTGCCCAAACACAAGTCGTCAGGCACGAACCGCATCGCTTATTGGCCTTCCTCAGGTCCGGGGCAGAACCTGGAGGCTCTGGGACTTACAGTTTAACTCGGCTGAGCCCCCCGGAGAAGCAAAGTCCACCCTCACCTCGGCTGCCATTCCGGACGGCCTTTGGCGACCCCGCAACTGCAGCGAGCTGCGGGACGGGGCGGGGCGGTCAGGCTCTGATCCAGGGCCCGATCCCAGTCCCGGTCCCGGTCCCGGTCCCCGACGGGGTCCCGCCGCCCCTCGGCCCCGCTCCGCCCGCAGCCCCGGCCGCTCTCTCGCCGCTCCCCGCGTTCACAGCCCTCGGTGCGGGGCCGGCGGCTCGTCCCGCCCCGCCGGGGCGGAGTGTCCCCGGGCCAGCCCCGCTCCTGTGCCCCCTCCCTCCATGTCCCCGCTCCTCTCCCCCCTCCCTCCATGTCCCCGCTCCTTTCCCCCCTCCCTCCATGTCCCCGCTCCTCTCCCCCCTCCCTCGCACGGGCTGGTCCTGCTGTGCCGGAGTGCGAGACCACGGCGCGGATTGTCCCTGTGCGCCCTCGGATGCCTTAGAGGAGGTTCAGGAATGGCATCCCCCGTTTTCTTGTCCCTTTTCGGGTTTTTCTGCCCTTTAACCAGCCCTGTTGCCGCAGGACCTGGGATAATTCATGTGGGAAGGGACCTAGTCCAGGTGTCTTTCCTATGTTTTTTTCTGTGCCATTATCCACCCCCTCTCTGAGTTGAACTCTGGGGCACGGTGGGATTGCATGGATGTGCATGGGAATGCTCCTTTCTGGAGCAGAGAGGATGCTGCCTCTGGCTGCCCAGCAAGGACCTTTTGCAGCTGCATTTCCAGTGTACTCCGGTATCAGTCCAGAACAGGGCTCAGACTCTGTACCTAGCCAGCAATTAATTCACTGCTTCTCAAACATTTCCACTTATGATTATTTCCTTTCCTCTTTCAGACTTCCAGATGCACAGAGCATCATGATGTCTACTGAGAACACCTCTTTGAACCATTTTGTTGCCAGGTTCTTCCTCTTCTGCAGTCCCTCACTTTTAGTGCTTCTTTTGTCATGTTATCTTTTATGGGTGTCTGTACTCCAGGCTTTGACAGGAGGTTGCTGAGGGTTTGAAAAAACAGTGAGTACTAGATTTACATCCATAACAAACCACTTGATAATCAGCCTACATGAATTCTTGGCTTAAGTGCCTTCCTGTGGTCTGTAATGAGTAGGGATTTGAGACCAAAACCCAAATCACAATGAGTCATAGTAGGGTGATGGTGAAAGTCTGAAGATACCACATACTCCTATAATGTTTGTGGAACTTGAGAGACCTCCACAGGCCCCTCCAATCTAAATTATTTCACAATTTTAAGAAAGGGGTGGATGGGTGGGAAGTACCAGTGACTATGAACTACTTATTTAAGTAAGAGTCTGAGATGTGATAATCTGCTAAAACTTCCCTTTTCCTTTCAGTTTGGCAGGGCCCTGTGTCACTCAGCACTGGCCATGAGGAACAATACCAGACATTTGCTACTGGGAGCAAGAGGAAATCTGTTCAGCTGAGGCCTCTGAAGGTACTTAGCAGGAGCTGGAAGATACAAATAGGGAAAATGAGGGGCACAGATTAAGGAAATTTATGGGAGGAAAAGGAACTACAAGTTGGGGATGAGGAAAAAAAACCTCCCTTCTTCTGACTCTGTAGGTGCTGAGTCTTGGGGTTCCCTATAACTTTCTTGTTCCTTTAGCCTGTCAACTCGGTGTGCTTAAGTGATTTTCTGGCAACAGATCTGGAGAGTGAGACAGGAGCCAAAGCAGAAACACAGCAGGAAGTAAAGGAGCAAACAGAAAGGAGGGTTGTGGACAGGTACTTGAAATGTGCTGTTCTTTAAATGCCAGGAAAGTGGATCAGATTTAGGGCCAGAAAAAGGAGAGAGAGTGGTGAGAAATGTTGAAAAAAGGGAAGTTTGCTATTGCTGGTCCTTCTACCACACGTTCAAAGCACAAACAGTCCAAAGTAGAATGAAGGCACTGTGTCTCCTGGGGTACTTTGTTAATGGTAGGAGATTTAGCTCCTGGCAGTTTGTACTGTCTGTGCTGCAGCCCTTGCCCCAAACTTGGTGAGGCAACACTTGTGTTACTGCCATTACCTGTGTGTCTCACAGAGTCTGAGTCAACAACGTGTTGCTGCATCAGCACGGAGAGAAGGTGCTGAGCAAAACACCCGCTTTGCAACGCTGTGGCAGAAAAGAAATTTTGCTGGGTAAAAAGGGACAATCAATTCCCTTTTTCAGTTCTGCCAGCCTCCCCTCCAAGAGACACGTTTACAAGCGAGGGAAGAGCCCACATTCTCTCAAAGCCCAAACCTCACGAGAGCTGAGGGAGCCCAACTTTGCGCTGAAGAAGAAAGACACAAGACAGGAGTTTCAGCGAACTACAGACACCCCAGTGTTTATTAACTCCAGATTAGTGGGATAGGCACAACGCTGCATCCACGGGATCTCTCCCCACACTCTAAGCTTGTTCCTTCAGCCTCTTGAGCAGCTCCCGCAGCTGCTCGATCTGGGCGGACACGCTGCTCTTGGCGGTGCCGCCCATGGCCGTGTACTGCTCCACGCTGCTGACCACGCTGAACACCTGGGACACGTCGCTGCCAAACAGGGGGCTGGGGGCAAAGGGAGGGCGGTCAGTGGACAGCTCTGGGCTGCTTTATGTGCTCTGTGTCTGCAGAGAGGGTGCAGGAGTGAGAGCAGAGCAGGGGAAAGGCCTCCTGCGGCCTTGTTTCTGCAGAGCCTGACAGAAGCTGCTGGTGGCAGACCAAAGAGTCAGCTCCAAGGGGAGACCAAGGAAATTCAGAGCCAAACCCCTCAGGGGACTGGTGCCTCTAGGGCAGGGCATGAGTTTCTCCCAGTCCCTCCCAAGAGCTGATGCGCATGTCCAGCTGCAGCAGAATGGAAGCAATGTTGTCCCCCTTCAGTGTTTTCAGTCCCAGCAGGAGCAGCCTTGGTATTCAGGCCAGGAGGATTTTGGGGTGCTGCCTGGCCCAGGCACTCTGGGGAAGGGCTCACTCCCAGGGAGGTAGATCCGTGTCTGTGGAGGGAAGTCAAGGCAAGGTAACAGTGACACAAACCTGATGCTCTTCAGGTCCTCCAGGCTGAGGTTATTGATGGTGGTGCCTTTGGTCTCGGCGAGGTGGACGGCCTTGCCAGCGGCGATGTGGGCTTGTCTGAACGGCATCTGCAGTGAGAAGCAGAGGTTGCATTCAGTGACCAGGCAACTGGGGTGCTTTTCAGTGAAAAAAAATTGGATGTGCTGTCATTTTTGGATGGCCTGTTTTCCCTTAAGGCAATCCGAATCCAGGTTTTCTGGGGTGGAAGAGGGGAGGCTTTAGGAGGTAACACTCCACCTGTAAATTACTATCAAGCCCTGCCCTGGCAGCAGTTCCACTGCTTGGGATACATGTAAGGAATGCATTTCCAGCTTTTGTGTTTGTTGAGCCAGACTGCTCATGACCTGGGGACAGAACAGAAGGCCTTATCTCAGGGCCTCAATACGCAGCACTCTGCATCCAGAGAAATCACAGCTCCAAGGCTCTGATACTCACTCCTTTATGAACCAAGTAGAGAGCCAGGTCAGATGACAGGATCTCAGGGCTCAGTGCCTTCTCCATGTTCTCCTTGTTGATCTGCAGAAGGGAGGTGAGAGGGAGGTGTTATCATCAGCTCCTCTTTGGGGACACATTAGCTGTCAGTGGGGGCCACAGTGAGCAGTATGGGCAAGGCAGCCAAGAGCCTTCATCTCAGCACCGGTCTGGAGCTCTGTTTCCTGTGTCACTCACAGAATGTGCACCATGACCATGTTCAGTAGTACAGACTGAACTGACCTGGAGGGTCGAAATCACTCCTGTGGCAACCTGGAGCACAGCATTCAGGGTGTCTACAACATCAAAAACGGCCTCCTTGTCCTCCTGTGTTAGAACAGGGATGGAAATGGCTGTAAGTCAACCTGATAGAACCCAAGAGGCTGAGCAGCCCAGCCAGCAGAGATGTGTCATCCCAGAGGCTCCTGCCATGGCCAGAGTGTCACCTGCAGCACTGCAGTGCCTCAGCCCCTTTTCCAGCACCCTGCACCCAGGCAGGGGCTGTGCAGGGAAATGGAGTGACAGGACAGCTCAACAGTGGTGGACAACTGTGTCTGCTCAGAGATGGTGTGAAAACTAACAAGTGCTTTACCTGCAGGTCCTTGTTGTAGGTGCTGGGGAGTCCTTTGAGGACCATGAGAATAGCAGCCAACTGCAGAGAGAAACAGGCAGGGCAGTGAGTTACAGAGCCAGGCACATCCCCCAGCACAGGTTGAGAGCCCAGACTGGGCACTGCTCTTTATGCAGAGGGAGAAGGAAGATGCTTCAGCCCTGGCAGGAGCAGTTTCCCCTCCCACTTGCTTCTTTCTCAGGCTCACCCGTCCGAACACTCGTCCAGCTTTGCTGCGGATCAGTTCCAGACTGTCAGGATTCTTCTTCTGAGGCATCAGGCTGCTGCCAGAGCTGCAAGGAAGGTGTTTGGAGTGCAATGGTGAGTCAGATCTCCATCCATACAGACACAGGCCATGCATCGCTACTGACCCAGCCTTTCAAAGGAACATGTGGGCCACCTTTCCTTGTACAGCTCTTTATGGTATAAGAAAGCAGTGAACTGAGTGTTGAGTTTCTCATGTTTCCCACAGCAAAGCCTTTGGTTTTGCAACTTGTCTGGAGCAGCCACACAGTCCCACCTCTCAAAGAGGAAGGAAAAAGGAGGCTCCCCCTCCACGCCCCTGCAGAGGTGGTTTCTGCAGGCCAACCTAAGTGATCTCAGGGAGGGAGGGTTGTGGTTGTGCCACTCTGAGAGACAAGGAGTCTGTTGGGATTGCAAACCTGACTAGTCAAGGAAGGGCTTTGGCAGCATTCCCAGCTGAGGAGGAAGTTCTCTCTGCCAGCAGTTGCCAGGGAGGAGTCACTGAGCTGAACTCAGACTTGGATGAGTTACCAGAATGAGAAATAAGTGACCACTGCTGAGGAATATTCCCCCTGAGGCTGCCCTTGTGCCAGCCTTTTAATGCTGTGTCAGCCTTGTGCACAGAGAGACCCCAACCACTGCCCCACGCTCTCAGGTGAGGACAGCTAAGGAGAATTACATCACAGAGACCAGAAACCTACCAGTAGGTATCAGAGAGGGTCAGAAAGCCAAACTCGCTGGTGCTGTAGATGATGAGATCCTCTGCCATCTTGCTAAGGTGGATCATCAGCAGGGTGGCAACAGACAGGAATTCCACTGCAGAGAAGGCAGGAAATCAGCAGGGGGAAAAGGTGCTGGTTTGCTTGACAGCCCAGGGAGCCCTGACTAGAGCTTTATTTCCTGATGGTGGATTTCAGTGCCCTTATTAAAGGAGGTTAACTGGAAAGGCCTCAGAACATACATCTAAGAGTGCTGAGAAGAAGTGATGGAGTTGTGCTTACCCACAAAGTCTCTCTCACTAACAGCATCCATGCTGTTCAGGCTGATGGAAGCAAAGTCCAGCTCTGCAAGGAAGGTGATGGACACAGGAAGTCAGGCTTGGCATGACAGGAGCTTGAATGCCCCAGGGTGCCCCAGGGTGCAGGTGACTCTGAGCCCTGGAGTGGTCCCAGGAACACAAACACGCTCTAATGTTGCACCAGCTGGGGTCTTTACTGTGAGCCCAGACAGCCAGTGTGCAGCAGGGGTGGCTCTTCCTCCTCCCACCTCACAGGCATTGCCTGTCTCATTGCAGCAGAAAGCCTGAAGAAGGAAAGGCTTAGGCTCCAGGACAGGGCATTACAGTGCCATTGGGAGCCCTGTGTCAATGCTTCCCTCCCTCCTAGTTATTACAGGTAGTTCTAAGCCCCTCAACCACAAGGAGACATTTACCACTGCGCAGAAGCTCTCTATCAATCTCCAGTGGGTTGCCAGCCAGAGCACCACTGCCAGGGGAGAAAGAAACAGGAGTCATGCAAGATACTTTGCATATCTCATCCAAAACTGAGCTCTAAGAAGCAGGGAAGGCACCTCTGAAGACTTTGCAGAGCAAAGCAAGGCTGATTGATTACACAAACAGCAGATCTTACCTTCCCAAAGGCAGGACATTGATCCTCTTTTTTATCTCTCCCAGGCGCTCAGAGTCACGGGTCAGAGCAACAGCATGGCTGGGGAAGGACAAGGGAGATGGAGCACATGAAATCAGAGAATGTCTCTTTCCTTTCCAATCTCTACTCTGTCATGCCTGGAGCCTGGGATCCCCTCTCCAACAAGAGGGTGGAATGAAGCCAAGGCACTAAGGCCTTAGCTGGACAGGCAGCAGAACACAAGATTCTCCGTGTTACCTCATCAGCCAGGGTGTAACTGTGGCCAAAGGATGGAGAGCAGGGAGTTGGTCACCACTGCCCAACCCCTGCTGGGTTCCCAGTTGGTCAGAGCCACACAGGAACATGGGCAGGTCCTGTCCCAGTCTGCAGGTTTCCCTCTGGTTTGTCCCCACCCCCTCAGAGGGGGAGGCACTCCTGGGCTCGAGCAGAGCAGGGCCCCGAGGCTGGAGAAGGCTCCTCCAGCCAGGGCTGAAAGGTGCTGACCTGAGCAAGAACTGGCTCCATCGGATGGGCTGAGCTTTCTGCAGGTGGGTGTAGCCAGGCAGGATGACATCGATTTCTCTGCGTGGCAGAGGAGAGAAGGAGGTGAGAGCAGCTGCCAGGATGGAGGGCAGGGGCAGGGCTGTAACTCCCCCCTGCTGCTGCCCCACTGGTGTCAGTCAAAGATGAGCCTCCAGGTCTCCTGGCCCAGCAAGGCCCTGGATTTGGAGAAGGACTTACATGGCAGCGCGTTCCACCAGGGTCTTAATGAGCTGCAGGAGGTGTGTGGAGATGATGGAGAGGGAATTCTTCATGAACAGCTTCAAGTCAGTCACAACCTGGGTGAGATTGGCCACGGTCAGACAACACAGAATGTGACACGTGGTGACTGCCCACTTTTACTGCAAAGTAAACCCCTCCTTGTCTTGGGTGATGGGAAGGTGCATCTTCTTCTCATCATTTGGTCATATTTATGTGGTGATGTCACTATTTCTTGCTCTCCAGGAAGAGTTCCAAAGGCCATGCTGGTCTGAGGTCTCCTGATATGAGGGGGGGGGAATACAAAGGAAAAAAAGTGATTCTGTACATACCTGATCATTCCTGCTTCTTCCAGTGTGCAACTTTCCAGCTACGTCTCCAATCAGCTCCTGAGGACAAGAGGAGGATTTCTGTCAGTATCTCTGTATTTCAGGCAAGAGACTCCCTGAGCAGATCTTCTCCCTGCCTGTGAGTAGCCATGGGATGTGTTCTGGGGAAGGGCAGGTTTGGGTTCTGTGTTTGTACAGTGACACTTCCAAAGAAGGGGGCTTGGAGACACTGGCCTGTGCACTTGGGGTCCAGAGGAATTTCACAGAGGGACAGAGGCACATGCCCTTAACATCAGGCAGATCCAGCTACAGAGGAACAGGAACAAGAGGACAGAGAACCCAAACCTTTAGCCTGCGTTCGTTGGCAGTGTGGATATCCTCATCAGTTTGGATCACACCAAAGACTCCTTTGGACCATTCCTCAGAGATCTACAAACACCAGCAGAAACACCAGTCAGCTACAACAGTTACCCTGCTGTGTGGGGGGCTGTAAGGGTCCCCAGCAAATTCCTGCCATCCCTGTGAAAACTTAACCCCAAAGTGTTAAGTCTCATGAGCTCTGGTATTCAGGCCAAGGCTGGCTGCTTGCTGTATCCTGATATCCTGGACTACTGGGATTCATCTCTCTACCCATGGCAATCCCGCAGTGTTATGGCTGTAGGAGGATTTAAGCATTGCAAGGAAGAAGTGAGCCAAAACATCACTGATTGCTTTAGCACTGTCCACAAAGGTTTTCCTATAAAACATTGTACAGACTCACCGTTGTCCGTGGTGGGTGAGGAACAACAATGGATATTTTAAAAAAAGCGCTTTGCTGCTGACTCCTCTTCCCCCCTACACATGCTATGCATTGCCTCCTACCAGAGGGCAGCCAGACTCTAAAGGATCCCACGTGCCAGCAGGAAAAGAATGTTCTTACTTCATACTGAAATGATTCCTAGTGAATGTTCAGTCTGAAGAGGATGGGACACGAGGACATTTGAGGACGCTCTTTAGAGCAGCAGCTCAGATGCTGTCAGGTACAGAGCCATTCATTCCAGCACACATCACAGTTTGTGAAGGAGAGACATACCTTTTCCAGGCCACTCAGGATCTTCTCCAGCTCAGTTTTAGACAGGATTCCAGCCTTCTCCAAGGCTTTAGCATAAGCCATGCTCCCCTGAATATCAACTTCAGACAGTCTCTGATCAACAGTAATGGAAGCGCTGAGCATCTCCATGATTGGATCTGTGCTTCCAACAAACCTTCCCGCCATCATTTTATCCCCCTGCAAGTAATGAAGTTGAGAGGCATGTTCAAAAGACTTATGGATATATCTGCTAAAAATCAGTCCATGTCCATTCCACTCCTTATCAAACTAAAACTGAGGACAATCTCAGGAATGGAATTTTTTCGGTCTATACCATTGACCTGAAACCCCTTGGACTTTAATGCCTTTGGGCAGCAGTTGTAGAGGTGGAGCACATGTTGCTGTCTCTAGAATTTAGCCCTTGAGGTTACAGGTCTGGCTCGGGAATCCTCCAAGACATTTTACCCCTGCAGGACTCTGCAGGAAGTATGTCCTGTCTGTGATAATAAGTATCAGGCAATGGGGTGCAAGACCAGCGTGGCACTCTCTTTTAAGGCAGCTGCTGATCACTGACCCTTTGAGAGTCTCTTGACAGGGAAAAAAAGTCAGGGAGATATACTGAAAGCTGTTATCTACTACTATTTGAAATACTAAAAAAAAATCCCACTCTTTTAGGGTGACTGTAAGAAAACATTGAGCTGACAAAGAGCTGTGGGCCAGCACAAGCTACATCCTGTCAAACACTCCTGTAACTATCAAGTGTGTGAAGTTACCGTTTGAAGCATCTCCAGAGTCCACGACGTTCTTGCAAGTTTTGGCACAAAATTGAGATAAAACCGGCAAAGGTGCCGATTGCAGAAAGGGAGGTCTGGGTGCCGTTCGGTGTTACAAATGTTAGCGTAAAGCGAAAAAAGGAAGAGAAAAAAGCCCAAAGTACCCCCGGAAGGGCTCGGAAGATGCGCGGCGCCGGGCGGGCGGCCGAGCTACCATGGACAGCGAGCGGCGGCGGGACCGGACCGGGGACCGGAGCAGCCCTTTCCCCAAATTACTGTCGAGGGAAGAGCAGGAGGGACCCTGCGGAGCCAGGGTGCAGGCTCGGGGTGCTGGAGCTCTGGGTGTGGAGCAGGTTTGTCAGCAGGAGCTGCTGGGGTTGGGGGGGGAGGGAAATGGGAGTTGAAAAAGCCGAAGTTGTGCAGCTCCTCGCTGGGAATCCCATGCCCGGGCGTGATGGGAGAGGGGACCGGGAGGGAAAAGGGGGTGATGGGAGGTAAGGGCTGGAATGGGCAAGACGTGTCCAGGTACATCTTTGCTGCTGTGGGCTATGCCCAGCATCAGAGGTGGGGCGTTGGGCTATTGCAGCAAAGATATTTACTGTCCCCTTCTCCATTTAAAACCCGGGAAAACGAATCATAGAATCATTAAGGTTGTGAAAGATCTCCAAGATCACCGAGTCCAACCGTTAACCTAATACTGCCGGGTTCCCCACTACCCCATGTCCCTGAGGATCACAACTAGAAGTTTTTTGAACCCTCCCAGGGATGTTGATTCCACCACACCCCCGGGGAGCCTTTTCCAAACGAAATAGGGAAAGACTCGAAGCTCACGAACGCCAGAGCACCCGGAGACCACCCCGCCGGGAAAGCAAAGGTCCCCCTCACCTCGGCTGCCATTTCGGACGACGTTTTGCTCGTTTGTGCGGCGATCCTGGCAACTGGTGCAACCTGCGGGACAGCGCGGGTGATGCTCAGCCCTGCCCCGGGCCCTGCCCCGGGCCGTGCCCCGGGCCGTGCCCCGGGCCCCGCCGCGGTCCCGCTGCCCTCCCGGCCCCTCCGGGCCCCGCTCACCTGCTCGTCCCGCAGCCCCGGCCACTCGCTCGCTGCTCCCCGGCCCCGCCGCTCCGCTTTTACACGCCTCGGTGCGGGGCAGGCGGCTCGTCCCGCCCCGCCGGGGCGGGGTGTCCCCGGGGCCGGCCCCGCTCCGGTCCCCCCCGCAGCCCCCTGCTCCCTTCACACCCCTCCGCTGCCTCCGGCCCCGGCTCGCCCAGCGCATGGTCGGGGAGAGAAGTTTCTTTTGGGGAGAGGTTTGCTGCGAGGAGGAGGGTTGAGAGGGATGCTCCCGTGTTGCTGCTTAGAGAAGTTCCCGGCGGTGCTCCCGCACTGCCTGAGGGTCTCGTGTGTGGACAGGGCAGCTCCTTCCCTGGGAATATCCTTGTACTGAAGGAGCCACATCACTCGGTGTCACGCCCCTTAATGAGCAGTCTTTGATATGAATGTAATTGATAAAGTGCTCTGTCCCCATTGCCACCCCGGCGAACACACCGGAATAAAACAGATGGGAGCCGGTTCCCCTTTCCCATTCCTGCGTGGATGAGACTTTTCTCCCCACTCGTAGGGACGCTGCAGCCCCAGCTTTGGGGCTTCCCTGCTGCCACCAGTTTCACGGGGTCACTTGTCGAGAGGCTCCTGTGAGCTGTGGCTGTGGGGTGCGAGGTTGTGCTTTTGGCAATAGCCCGTGTCTTAAACTCATCACACTCTGAATATCGTGGAACTAAACAACTGATTGAAAATACAAGAGAGCTTTGGGAGCAGCAAAGCTTCAGCTCAGCACCACTTTCTCATTAACTCCTCAGACAGAGAATTTTCTGCAGCCACTTCCCAGAAAGCTGAATATTTGCTGCTTTGTCTTACTGAGTGAGCCTCTGCAGTGTAATATTTTCCCATCTGCATTGTCCAAACCCTTCACAGCGCTCAGGAAACATATTCCAGCTTTCTCATCCACATTTTGTTGGGTTATTTTTTTCCCCCATAACTGATCCTCTTTCTCTTTTTTACTGTTCTCTCAGTTCTACAACATTATCTCTTTTTCCTTTTTCTTCTAGGACACTTACACCAGGAAGCAGTGCTTGATCCTTTTGCAGTCATGTTCTTTCCTACTGTGAAATCCCTCATTTTTACCACTTTTCTTGTCTTCTTCACCCTTTAGAAGCGTCCTTTTCTTTACTCTGGGCTTTGACAGGAGATTGCTGATGTGTTGGGGAACCAGTAATCAGTGAGTTTATAACCAGAGTGAATCTATGTCAGTAAGATCTTATTAATCTGTGTCTGATATTACATGTGGCAGGGACATGTGCTTCCACATGGGATCTGTCAGCAGTGTCACTGTGTGTTTAGCAAACTTCCCAGGGATTAGTTGGCTTGTAGTACGCTGCTCAACTCTTGTCCCAGTTCGTATCTAGGAAATTATTAATTCTCTTTCCTATTTTTAGATGAAATAAACAATAACTACCTTTTCTGTATAATAATGTAGAATATAGACTAATATTTTTGTAATAAAAATGGAAGTGAAACTGTAAATACAAAAATGAACATTGAAGAAATATGATTTCTTAAAGATGCTGGAGCTGGAGAGTTGGACTTTTTTTGAGGGGAAAAAGGTAAAATAGCATTGCAAAATAGGTTTTCTAAGGCATACTGATGTGCATTCTCATTCCTATCTTCTCTATTTGTTCTGGTTTGGATGGCTCTCCATTTCCCATCATCTTCTTTCAGTATTTTGTTTGCTTTGTGAAACGGAAAGATTAACCCCCAAAATCTTCACACCACAATTAATATCAAAGAAGGTCTGAGGGAAAGGTCTTCCACTTAATTACCTTTCTGGCACAGTGGATGGCAAATCATTCATTAAGGTACAATGAGGTAGTGCTAGAGAGTAAATTGCCCATTTTGCAGCATGGAGAAGTTTAATTAAATATATTTTAGTGTACTCAAAGGTCTGAACTTTATTTTCACTTACTTTTTTAATCTGTCACAGCCTTACTATTTCCTTTTGTTTTGTTGTAAGAGTGCGATGCTCCGAAGGAGCTTTAGTGGTTCTAGAAATACACTTTTCACGATAGGACTGGTTTTCATAACTGAGTCCAGCGAAGAAAAAGGATGGCTTCTTTAAAAACATCCTTTTTTAACCGTCATTTTGGTTTAGAAAAAGAAAATAGCTCTATGGGCTGAAAGTGCTGGTCAAACGCACCGTCAGCTCGGCTGATGTGATGCCGTGCTGACATTTTTTGTTAAAAAACCCCCCAACTTTGTTTAATGAATTTTGAATGTAAAAGGAAAAAAAAAAGACACTATAGGGTGATCAGCGAAATGCTGAATACAGTAAACATCTTTCATGACAAAGAATACAAATACCCTGCAGATCTGCTTTCAATAGCAAGTCCTAGGCCCCCTGCTTTCAATAGTTAATACCGAGGCCCCTCTCTCCCCAAGCCTTAGTGGTAACAATCACAAGCCAATGCTTAAAATGTTGACATGCTAAGCACATTTAGAAAAACCTATGTCTGCATTCCCTATGGATGGTGTAGCATAACTGTCTAACACCTAAAGAGCAGCAATTAAAACCAGTGAGCTGGCCTAATCACCTCACCTCCTGAACAGTTGTAAGGGCAATGAGCTCTCTTAGATATTCCCCTTCTCATGATGTCAGTGGACCTGTAGCTGACCCGTACATGTATTTACACCCTAACAGGCTCTATGTGTCCATTGGAAAATATTTAGGAATAATATCTCTATTAGAAAAAGAATTGAGAGCTGTTGAGAGAGGCATTTTTATTATGCCCATTCATTCCCAGCTGCATCATCATCACGGATTGTAAAAAGCATCATAGCTTGAAAAAGTGTATCAGCAAAGGTCTTGGGGGAAACTTTTGGAGAAACAGTGGAAATAAAGATGACAAGTTGGTGCTGGGGGAGAGATATAAAGAGTTGCAAAGGAGAAATGAAATTAATATGCTGAAGATTCTGAACCCTTATCTGAAGAGAGTGATGAGAGGCAGGCAAGGATTAGTAGATTTGTGGAACAAAACTCTGAAATACCATGTTTGCACTGTAAGCTGACATCCTTTCTCTTCTTTCCTTCCCCCTAGCCTGGCTGGGAGCTGGTGTACAGGCAGTTTCATGTGCAGGGTTGGAAACATGGCAGAGAAGTTACAGAGCATTTGCTGTGCCAGTTTTGGCCAACTTACAAGGCCAGTTAATCCTGACATGAAAAAGGGCAGCATCCATTGCATCCTGTGCACTGAGTCAGACCAACAGCTCTCGGTCTGCTTTTGGAGACCTTTCTCCTGGCTTTTTTTCCACAGGACTCCACAATAAGTGGTTCTGGAGGATAAATGAATTTCTATCAGCACTACAATCTGTGTGTGATGGGCTTTACTTGTCCATCGAAACTTTTTAGTGGGGGTTTCAATTGAAAAGGGCTGAAAAACCTTTGCAGGTGGCTTTTAAACTTTGCCCAGCACTTCTATAACTGATGATGAAGGTTCCTGGAGAGCTGGGAGCTGCCAGGGCTGTCCTGGCGCTGAGGACTGTTCCTGAAGCACTGCAGTTTGCCCATATTATTCAGAATTGATTTAGGATTTACAAAACCCCAAGGAGAAGAAAAGTCCTAAAAGTGGGAGTGGTTTGATTGTGGAGAGAAAAGCCGCTGGTGGATTTTGTGCGGGGTGGTGTGGGGGGGTGGGGTGGGGTGGTGTGGTGTGGGGGGTGGGGGGGGGTTGAGTGGGGTGGTGGGGGGGGGGGGGGGTTGGGGGGTGTTTTTTTTTTTTTTTTTTTTTTTTTTTTTTTCTTTTTTGGTGTGGGTGGCATTGCAAGACAGACGTTGGGAGCACAAGTCAAGCCCATTTGGTTCCCTAAATGGCTCTTAAATCCCTGCTGCAAAGAACCACGTGTATCTGTATGTGACTCCTTAGGGAGTTAGTGGTGTATCTGGATATAAACTTTTGCCTGAGAGATAATGTCAGAATTAAGGAATTAATGTTTCTCAGGCTCTCAGTCTCTGAGTCAGACAATTTTCCCTGCTGTTGCCTATGGGATTTTCAGCTATTTGCACTCAATGAAGTGTCTTCAGGTTTACTGAGAATGAAAAGGGCTCTTGCAACATTTAATAGCGCATAGATCAAATGGGAAGGCATCACGGTGATGGCTGGAAAAGACACCCGGCGCTGACGAGTCGACGGGTGCTTTAAAAGACAATAGGAGTATTACACAACTACTTCGGCCCCGCAGCACATGGCTAGAGATGAGATTTGGAAGGACCTTCGCGACACTGCTTTGACTTTGTCGTATTTAATAGCGGCTAATTGTCGATCTGGGCGAATTTTCAGGGCAGTTTTAACTTCTTTTTGTAGAGTGCATACAAAGGGAGATGCGGGAACCAACCTTCTATCGCCGGCATTGGTGGTTCAGTGGTAGAATTCTCGCCTGCCACGCGGGAGGCCCGGGTTCGATTCCCGGCCAATGCAGTCGGTCTTTTCTCTTTTTTTTTTTTTTTTCCCCCCCTTCATCCTTATTTCTCCTTCACTTTCCGCTTCCGTCGCGGCCGCCAAACCTTCCTCCGGCTCAGCCTCCCCCTTTGCCCCGCTCTTCCCCCTCCGTCTCCCGCCGGGCCGCCGGTGCCCGAGCCGAGCGGGAGGAGCCTCAGGGAGGCCGCGGCGGGGCGGACAAGATGGAGGTGTAAGGCACGGGGAGGAACCGGGGACACGGGCTGCTGTGGGGACAGCGGGGGCTGCGGGGCCGGGGCTACATCTGTGTGGGTGTGGGGGGTACATCCATATGGGCCTGTGAGGTGTCTGTGTGTGGGGGGTACATCCATATGGGCCTGTGAGGTGTCTGTGTGTGGGGGGTACATCCATATGGGCCTGTGAGGTGTCTGTGTGGGGGGGGTACATCCATATGGGCCTGTGAGGTGTCTGTGTGTGGGGGGTACATCCATATGGGCCTGTGGGGACAGTAGGTGTATGAGAGGTGTAGTGGGCCTTTAGCCCCCCCCAGCAGCGGGTTCAGGCGTTCTAAGAAACGGAGGGGTTTTATTTGCTTTAACAATCCTGCTTGGAGCAGCTGTTGGGGCCAATCTCGCTCTGGTCCCATCTCCCCGCCCGCCTGTGCCCCGGGAGAGGTGGAACGGGAATCCTCTGGCGGCTTCGGGGAGAGAGTTATTCCCGGCAGCATCGGGAGGGTGACTCTGTGTAGGAGCTGGACATGCCGGAGAAGGAGCAAGCCTGGAGTCTGTGCCAACAATTGCAAACGCAAGCGAATTGTGGCCGATATTTCAGGGCACTTACACCAGGCAGCGTGTTCTGCCTTCCTGCGCTGACAGTGCTGCGTGTTTGCGTTTTTGGAGTGTAACCTGGGCACAAAACAATAGGATTTGACTAATTTTGAAGCTTAGAAACTCCCGAGTTCTGTGGAGCTCCTTAAACTTCGTGTTTATATATACATGGTGCTGGTTTCTTAAGAATGGGGGCATGGAGGATGCAAGTCCCATGGGATGTATCGGCATCCCCCAAAATCAGCTGAACTACTCTGGTCATGTAATCCATGGATGCTTTATTATTATTAAATCTTCTATATTATAATTATTAGATCTTCTAGACATAAAATTCAAAAGCAGATAAGAAACATCTCTTGAAAGAGGGGTTTGCATGACACAGGTCTCAACACGAGTGGCAGCCTGCAGGGAAAGGAGCTGATCCTGCTGTTGTACGCTGAGAAAGGTGCTTTTGATACCAGTAATAGAAAATCTGTGATACTTCTTATACATCCACTTGGTTTTATTACTTTGAGTAGCCCAGTATATTTTAGTGATGCTGCCTCTTTAGTACTAAAGAGGTGCCTCAGAGGTAGAAGATGTGGGGGCTGAAATCCGGAGCTGTTGGTGATCGTTCCTTTAATTGGAGTGGAACAATTTAGTCCATTTTGCACTTAAATTACTGTAGGAATTTAATCTTCCTCATCTTTTACCTCCTGCTTGATGGCATTCACAGAGGGAAGTTTTGCAACTAGGAAAACTGCTCCAGGATTTACCCTGCCAGAACTATCTGTTATTAGAGAAAAGAACCCTCCAGAAAATATTGCTTTTTAAATATGCACCATATTTGAAGCAGTAGACTTAAAAAGGTGAAGTGTCAGTGATATTTGTAGAGTTGTGATGCCATATACTAAGGTATTTTTTGATATATGCAGCAGGCCACAAGAATATCTTGGTTTGGACTAAAATTTGGGCAAATATTACCTATTTAAAGATTCTGTAAAGTGTTTATGCTTCTATGAAAATTCTTTTCCTTTCTGCTTAAGTCTTAATCTCATAAAAATTAAGCACACTGTTCAGTCGACTGCTTAAAATATATGTTAGAATTCATTATTTAGAGTTCATTATGTAGAATTTCTTGTTTCCTGACTGTAAAATTGATAGTTGCTTCGTGAGAGCGAGGGCTGAAGAAAATTTTGTTTCTACTTTATAAGTTCTGCAAAAGTTCATCAGTTCATAATTTTGGTATTTCAGCACGACAGAAATTGTGCTGAAACGCTATGAAAATATTCATTGTATTTTCCTTCTCCATGCTCTTGACTTATAAAAAGGTGTGTAATGTGAATTATTTTTTCCTGTCGGTCTTTATCCAAATAAAACTGGAGGCCTTTTTTGTTGAGGGTTTGAGACTGACTCGTTGGCTGTCTGTTGTTCGAAGGAAAAAAAAATAAGTGTTTTTCTGAATGACAGAGTGGGTTTGAATGAAAAAAGGAAGCAGTTGTCTTAAATAATTTAGCCTCAGATTGATTCCACGGGCTCATTTGCATAGCAGCTCATCGACTCTATATGACCCTTTCACTTACTCAACTGAACAATTCCATATGTAATTCTCCTATAGCATTATTATCTCTGACAAAGAATGTCTTTGATCCGTGGGGATTTCTGCAGCCATGGCCTGAATGCAAACATTCTGAAGAATTGCATTTACCTAACAACCGAAGCTATATGGTTTGTAAAACATGAATGAAAACTAATGCGTGCCTGAGCTCACTCGCTGAAGTTTCACTCCAGTCAGCAAATGGAAGTTGGAGTTCATCTCAGCGTATTTTAGGAGGTCCTTTTCATTTAAAAACAATGATAGAACCTGTGGAAGTTTGTGGACTCATTTAACTCGTTTGAAAGTGATGAACGTGACAGTTCTATTCAGGCAGTCGACGGTGCTTAACAACACATTGTACCTTTTTTGTTCTTTTTTTTTTTTTTTTTTTTCCATAAGCTGCTGCACAGACCTGAGAAAGGCCTTTTTTTCCTTTTGTATGGAAACCTTCTGTTGTTGTGGCTGCTGACTGCTCAGCAGAACGTGTTGTTCAGGGAATATAGGATGTCCCCCTGTCAGTTTTTCCTCCCTTTTTCAGTTTAAAAATATAAAATTACAATATCCAGTAGTAATAGAGGCCTGATTAGTCTAAATATGTCACCCTGCCAGTGGTGGATAAGGATTCTTGCTTAATTGGGACTGAATTAGTGGGGAGGTGTTTGGTTGCTGGAAAATGGGAAACTTGCCCTCCTGTTAAAGAATTAGGCCCATAAAAATGCAAAAAATAAAGAGGAAATGCAGTAAGTTTTTTTACTCAGTAAAAAAATTGACTGATAAATTAATTTACCCATGTAAATTAGTGCCCTATCTATGTCTATACACACACATATGTACAGTGTACTAAAATACTCATTGTATTTTCATTCTCTGTGCTCTTGACTTATAAAGAAATAGTGTGTGTAATCTGAATTATTTTTCCCATCAGTCTTTATTGAAATAAAACTAGAGGCCTGTTTTATAAGGAAGAGGCAAAGCAATTTGATTTTAGTGTATGAAATCGGGTGACTGAATAAAATGGGGTGGCTGAGTAGAAGGAGTGTGTTGTACAAGTGTATTGTGATTTTTGGGGCAAATTGTGCAAGATATATTCTATATTTATGTCATAATTCTAGTAACAATGTGGAAAAATAAGGTGGCAACAACTTGGTAATGTAGAATCACCAAAAACAGATTTCTTGGGGTTTTCTTTTCTTAAAAAAACTTAATCAAAATAGTGTCTGTTCTTAAAGAGTCTGCAGGACTCAGCAAAGAAAAACTTTAAACAGTTTAATTTGCAACCTAATTAATTGGTTTTCATCTTTCCTTTTAGAAAAGATGCAAATGCTGCCTTGCTGAGTAACTTTGAGGTAAGTTTATCTGCATCCTGGTTTTAAACCAGCAGTTTAAAGCTGTCATCAGTCCCTTGTGTAACCTTTGGAAGCTGAGAATTGGCAGTGGCAATCAGCAGGACCTGTAGGTGATTTACACCCCCCTGCATTTGGTTTGTTTTTAAGAAGACAAGCTTTTTAAAGAAGATTTGGAGGTGGTTCTGCCAGTAATGGATACTGCATTATTGTCTGTTTGGTCCCGGAATTCTTCCAGAAAGTTTAAACATTTTTCAGCTGCTGGAGTCAGTGTTTCCTATTTAACTTAATTGTTGTGATGTGCAGTCTCATCTAAGAACCTGTGACTTATCAATGCAGAGTTGTATTAAAACCAGAGCTACTGGAAATGTGGTTTTACACCCTTGAATGATTGACAGAAATTTTTTTTAAAGCTGGTCTGAGATCTGTTACTCAGGATAAACACTCCTAGAAGCCAGTGATGTACCTTAGCCTGGAGTCACAAGGAGGCTGCAGTGCCCTGTCACAGCAAACAGTGAATATTGGCATTCATATAACAAAAAATAATCTTACTCAGAACTTATCTACAGTAGAAAATAATTCTCCTCTCTCCTCAGTAAAGGTTTTTTTTTAGTGAGGTGGAAAGAAATGTCGTGGCCTTGTTGGTTTAACTTCAGCCAGGTAATGCAAAGATTTCAGTGCTTGTTTATTAAAGTAATTTTTGGAACAGTTTTAATAACCCAAGTGCTTTGTTTATATTATTTTATTGCTGAAGCTGTTTTTTATTGCACAGCTGTTTCATTCTGTTCTGAAATAAATCTTGAAGTGTTTTATCCTGAGCTGCATCTGCCTGTGAACAGCAGAGCAACCATCTGGTGACTTAGAAGGGCTTTAATGAGGTACTTGGAAAGAACTCTCTTGCCTAAGAAATAGATGATACTATGTCAGCCAAACTAATATTAAGTGTCTGTCTGTTAAAAACATACTGTTGCAGTAAAGAAAATAGCAAGTATGGCTTTTCAGTGCTCTTCAAAGTACTGATTCCCTTAAAACTACCAACACCTTTCCATTGGCTCCTCCTTCCAGTTGCAATTTGACTGGCACAGCCAACATTCTCCAAATTGAGGTGATACTTTTCACAGAAAGTGGTGTTTGACAGGAGCATTCAGGACTGACAGGTATTTTCCATGCCTACAGTTCTTCTGCGAGTTTGGAGTTGTCATTTTGTGTTTTGTTGCCACTTGGCTGCATTTTCTTCAGATACTTATTGGGTAAAAGTTCACAGCTCGAGTTTTGGATTTCAGGTCAGGATTGACAGGGGTTCCTTTTTCATAGAAGATGCAGTGTAAAGTAATTGCTAGATTTATAGCTGATCATGTTCATATTTCTCACTGTCTAGAAATGCTTTTTTCTTATTTCTGTGGCCCTGTCAGTTTGGAATGCCATTGGATCTGGATCTTGAATTAAGCTGGTTAAAAATGAGGGGATAAACAGTAAGCTGTGGTACTTTGCTGTGGGTGTTGACTTTGGATATACTGTAAAACCAGAAGCAAAACATCTGAAGAAATATCATTCTAGTGTGGTTTAATACAGGAATAAAACAGTAATGGTGATGCTGTCTGCATGTTTTGCTGCATGTCTAGGAATGATGAATCTCACTCCTACACTGATATTCATGGCATCATAAATGTGAAGACAACTTCATTACATGCTTTTCAAGAATGTCTGCTTGTATTACCTCGTGATGAAAGCTAATTTAATCCTTGTGGTTTAACATACCACACCACCATGCTGGTCACTGTAACATTTATGAATAACTCTGCTGGAATTTATGATGGGATCGTTAATCTCAGGAGCATCTGTAGGTCAAGCCTTGAGTTAGTGGGTTCCTGGCAGTGTGACAGGTGTAGAGTTTACTTTTATTTTGCAGACAATGGAAAAATGCCTCTCTGGGAGGCAGGATATGTATCCAGTTTAATGCTGTAGGTACCTCTGTCATAACAAATCCAGTAGAGCCATAAACTGCTGCGAGATGTTGCTTCAAGCATCACTCGTGTAAATGGGAGCTCGGTGCCAGCACAGCAGGGCATGGCCCAGCTCTGTTCAGGACAGGAGATAAACAAGTCACATTCCTCCTGGCAACTTCTCCTTTGGGGCTCTTGGGTGACATTGAACAAGTGTTGAAAGTCTGTTTAAAATAGTCACAGTTATTAAAAAACAATTTACATACCTATTCATCGCTCTGGGGCCAAAACATTTGCCATTTCAATCACTGGTGCACCCACCAAAACAGCCACAGGTTTTTTTGCTGTTTGGTTGACAGGACTTTTTGTTGATCACTTATGTTTTCCTGTTATAATATTTTTAACTCTCAAGTGGTCTAAACCACTTTATTTTTTCCCCTCAGGTGTTCCAGTTACTCACTGACCTTAAGCAGCAGCGCAAAGAGAGTGGGAAAAACAAGCAGAGCTCTGGCCAGCAGAACCTGAACACAATCATGTATGAGGTGAGTAGCACTGTCAAAGTCCTTTGAAAATTAGCCCAAGCTGGAGAAATTCGCATCCTTAGGTCTGCATATTAATAATTCAGTATCAAATCTCCCCTATTAAGAAGCACAGTAGAATATTTGATTTGCCACTGGTCTGTGGTCAGTTTATTCAGATTGCAGGGTAACTGTGCTCTCAGGGCAGAGGCATGCAGCTCTTGTTATTAAAATCTATCACAAAAAGAATTTTAAACCCCCCTGGTTTTGAACTCTTTAGTTTTATGTTTGTTTTTTTTTTTAATTCCAAATATTCTCTCTTTTTAATACACGGGGCAGAACTTGCAGTCGTCTAGGGAATTGATATCATATGATCAATGATTTCAAAACTGATCAGACAGATCACATATGGCATTTTTTTATTAACAGAATGAAACTAATGATTTCCTACTAAAATAGATTATTTTAAATTCTATTTTTTTGGTCAAAAGAAAAGCAAAATCACGTGTACAGATAACATCAGCCGGACGCCAGGTTGGTCATAAACATTTCATCTCCTGCCAGGAAGAGCTCCTCAAATCATATAATGCAAATATTAACATTTTAAATATCTCAAATTAGCAACTTGGTCCAGACTTGCAGTGTGACCCTTTGTGTCTGTGCTGGAGAATTGCATGAGCAGCACCCTGATGGACAGTGAGCTGAAAGCACTTTGCCCTGCTTGCATGAGTGATTCCGTTGAGCACTGAAACTGCTCATGTGAATAAGATTTGGCCTAGGCTCTGGTTTTGTTTTAGTTCTGGCTTTGTTTGGAAAGGTATAGAGTTTGTAATTCCCAAGCCTCGTGTTCAACAAAATAGTGGCTTAGAAAAAAATCTAAATTAAACCTTCATGGAGACTGACAGTCTCTCCCTGTACCTCTCTGAAACAGCTGAGAAAGATCCTGTAAGTAAATTTTATCAGGATGCACCTTAAAGCTTTAATTGCCTTGTTATATTTCTGTATGTTAAATACCCATAGGATGCTTGGTTTTGTGCATGGTGTAAATTCTATGTCTATTTTCTTTATATTTGCCTGAAAGGAAACCAGAATTTGATCTTACAGGATTGTCTTTATTCTTGCTGAGTGTGTCTTCACAAGCTCTGTGCAGACTTGTGTCCATTGGTACTGAAATAACCAGATGAAGGGAACTTTGTTTTGCTGTATATTTGTCATTTTCATGATTTGAAATTACCAAGAAACAACTAAACTGGGAAAGAAATTACTCCTATTAAATAATTCTGTTCCATGACAATGTGATGATTTCATTCCAGTCGTCACTGGTGAATAACAACTTCATTTCATCTGAAAAGGTCAGACTGGGCTTACATAAAGGAGGTTTATCCAGCACCTTATTATGCTTTTAAATGTATTTCTCAGCAGTCCAGGGAAACTGGTCCTGAAATTTATGTTTCATCAACTCTCTCTCTGTTAAACAGGGTGAGTTATCATGTGCTGTTGAAGCCTGTTTTCCTTACCAAGCATTTTTAAAGGAGAGCAGATTTTAATGGAAATACAGTGAACATACATTTACATATTTTCTTGTAGCTCATTTTCTCCAGTATCTGTTGTTTTCTGCTCTGTGAACACAATTCAGCTTTTTTGGCTTCTGACATTTCAAGTATAAATATTCAGCTTAAAGATTTTCTGACAAAGAAACTCAGAGTATTATGGGAGTATTATTATTATTACTGATAATCTGTGCATGGGATATCCTACCACACATATGTCTGCATTTGCAGTGCATTAAATGCATCATGAGTCAGTTGTGTTGATATTTTAAGCTTTAAGTGCTGTGCAGTATCAGCAGGTGAAGATTTTCTTCCTAAATTCCAAACAAGCATTGACAGTGCTCTTTGAAACCCTTCAGCTGCTGATTCACACAGTGCAGGAAGGATCTCCTTGACTTTTCTGTTGATGCTTATTATTTCCAACTCTTCATTTTGGGGTCTAATTCAAGCAACAATAAATACTCAAGAAGACTAAGCTACTTCCAGTGAAAAGTCAACTGTGAACTGGAATTTGTGTGGGGTTTTTTATCAACAAATTGTTTGTTTTTTTTACTCAGGTCAAATTACTTGTGTCTTGTCCATCTGTTAGAAATTGTGTTGTTTTAAATAAAGCAAACTAATGTAACATCTGCAAAAGTTAGCTGAGGTTAGTGGGTGTTACATGCAAAAAAATGGAGCAAAGATAAACTGTTTCAAGTCAGATAAACATTTCTAATAGTACAGTGTCCTTTCAGATTTCGTGGCAACCCACCTAATCTGCTTCTGTGAACTTCAAGAAAACATTGCCAAATGTGCAGATAAAGGATGAAAACAGCCATAGATTAGAGGGTTTAAAGAGTGATTTATGGGTTGGCAGTGAGAGTATCCCTGGCACTGAGCACAGGAAAACTTGGCAGAAGGTAATGTGGGTTTAAGGATGAATAGGAATTCAACTTTCCTAAGTGCTTTTAAAAAACAAAAACAAAACAATTAAAAAAAAAAAACACCACAGTAAACCCCAAAGCCTCCTATCTTGGTTCTTTTTAAAATAGCTGTGGATCTGTAAATATTTATTGGTTTGAAAAGGAAGAGTAAATGAGTGATATTATCCAGCACAGCTGTGTGTCTTGATCACAGTGTTACCATCACCTGAGATTATTTCAGACCAAGGGAGCAAATGTCTCCTCACAAAACAGCAGGTGGGTTTTTAGTAGACAGAGCTAAAACTCCTTCCTTTGCTGTGCCCTTCAGTGTGCAACTTTGGGCTCTGGGCTGGTCAGATAATGTTGGTCCAGAGCCACAGAGGGAATATTCATGGCTGTATTTCTCACCTGGGTGTGTGGGGAGCTGGCTGGGTTGGGGCTTTGTGGAAGGAATTCACTGGGGCTTTGTGGATAAGTATTAATGTAGTTTTCAAGTACATGGAGTTGTAGTTAGATAAGATTTCTTACTCCCTCAGAAAATTTCAGTATATTCTTATTGGAGACACAACAGTATGAGTGACCTGTCTCATCTATGACAGCACTTCCATATGTTAAAAAAAATTAGAAAGCCAAACCCCAAAACCTGAGTTGACTTTCCCAGTTTTTCTGAGTAGTACTGAGGAGGCTCTTCGAGATCTGCTTGTTTCATACACAACTGGTAAAGCAAATAGTAACTGTGCAGTGAAATGTTCTTTCTTTCTGTCCTTTGCAGACACTGAAGTACATTTCAAAAACACCCTGTAGGTACCAGAGCCCCGAGACTGTGAGAGAATTCCTCATTGCAATGAAAGGCCATAAGCTGACCAAGTAAGTACAGATGTGCCTTTGAACAGAAGTATAAACTCATGGCAGTGTAGAAAAACTGATCCCCATGTGCAGTGTGTGATAATCTGTCTGGTTTTAATGCATGTGTTTTCTGCCATTGTTTAAATACTCAGCCAGACATCTTTTCCTTCAGTCATTAATGCCTACATGAATGAGGATTTCCTTCAGTGGGCTTGTGTTTATTAATGTATTTCTCAAACAGATTCTTGTCAGTATATTGATTTCAGAATGGTTTCACATGGTCCAAGCACAAAGAGCTCATAGAGTGTTTTCTGTGGAAGAAGTTGGAAGTTGTAAAAGGGTTTTGAACGCTGTAAGAGAACTGCAAAAAAAATCCCCCCCAACTCATCCTTGGTTTGTTATTATCTTAGTTTTATGAATGTCCTTAGGCAAAACTGTATTCATTTCTAAAAGGCAAAAAAAGAGCAATAAGCAAATAAATTCTTGGGAAGAAATAAGTAAACAAAAGTATAGAAGTATGGGAAAGAACATTACTCTTAATTTTTATATGAATCTGTGAACCCCAACTGCTGCAGATCATCTCTCAGGGTTGGGCTCTCTTCTTGAGTTTAGGAAAGTAAGATGTTTTTCTTTTCTTTGTGTGCTGTTGGTCCACTCATATTTATATAACATTTATATTTACGTACATTTCAGTTACCAAAATATTATGTCAATCAACCTTCCACCCTCCCTCTGCAGTTTCTAATGAGGCTGAATATGCAGTTTGTTCTTATTTGGGGAATTTCTGCATAGAAAATAAAAGATTTCCTTCCCTGTTACAAGGAGACTCAAAGGGCATTTTCCCTCTTTGGCAGTGGTGTGAGTGGCTGTTCACAGTGCTTGAAACACATAATCCTCTTGAACCTCTGCAGAGTGGGAGTGAAGCCTGTTGTAAACAGTCAGACCCAAAGGAATGGAACCACTTGGCCACTTGCTCGGGGAGCTCCAGTCGCTCATCTGATTTTTAAAGCAGGAAGAACTCATATTGAGCTGCTTCTAAATGACTCCTCCTTCACTTAAAAGGGGTGGTTTGTGGTTTATTCTGTGTAGACACTGACTGGTTTTCTTCCCTGCTGGAAGGACTCCCGAGGAGTTTATCCCCTGGGAAAGAGGCTTTTATTAATTTGGTTGTGTCACAAAAACAGTGATACAGTGAGAGCATCTGGAGGGTGCAGTGCTACAGGGCAAGTTCTTTACCCTGTCCAAAGCAGAGGAAGTTGAGTAGAAAGCAGATTGTCAGCTATTTTGTTGACTTTCAGTGCCCCCTCTCTACAAACAATCACTCACATCCAGGATATCAGCAGCTCTGGGGCTGCTGGAGTTGCAGACATAGGAGTGCTGGTACTTGGAAGCTTTGTCATGGATATTGGAACTGGGCTTGTAGTGCTTGCTTTGGTAGAACTAAAGTTGCCAGGTCAGTATGTCAGTGTTTAGTCCTCCTTTTATATAGCAGGATACTAATTTATGTAGTGGGGAAGGTGTCCTAATTGTTTTCCGACACAGAGGTATTGAAGCATGGAGAAAATACTCTATTATAAAAATACTGCTTATTGTAAAGACCTGGTGGTATGGCAGTGAAAGTGTCTTAAAACTGGGAACAAACTATTTCTTGAGTAAATAGTGAGCATCCTTCATTTCTGGTAATGTGAAACAGTCCTGTTTGAAGTGAAATAGGCTGGTTCTGTCTGTACAGGGCAGCAGTTCAGGAAGGCACCAGCAGAACAATCTATCACAGCAAAAAGGCAACAGGAGTCAGAAAGGCAGAGTAGGATTTTTCAGCAAAAAATGTAGGTATATGAATGATGTAGGTATAAACGTCCCAGTAGAAGTCAAAGGGTTTATTTTTATTTAAAGCTCATTTTTAAACTTCTTTCAGGTAGAATTTGACCAGAACCTTGGGGTTAACTCTTACAAAAAGTCAGGAGAGCTCTGTTACCACATTAGATACCTTGACTGCAGCTGCTCCCCTGCATGGGATCTGCAAGACCAGAGTACTAAATTATTTGAGTCATAACACAGAAACTTCTAACTACAAAATCTGTGTCCTATGGTGCTGAGATATTTTGTAGAAGATCTACCCAAATTTTCACCTTCCCACTCCTGCTCATTCAGTGAGCTGGAATACAGCGCTGCTGCAAAGGTTGAAATAGTTACAAGCTTTAAATGAGCTTTTTGACTATTTAATTTTGTTATGGCTGCTAGGAGGTGCCTTTGGGTTTAGGTATCATCCTCTCTGTCCTTTTTGTCTGAATCAGTCTGTAAGCTAAGCAAGAGGATTATTCCCAAGTCATTTCCTTGTGCATAATGGCAGAAGGATGAGAGTGAAGAGCCAACCACTATTTTATGTGGCAAATTTATTCTGTTTATGGCTTATCAGAACTCACATTGGGTGGTGATACCTTAGTTTTGTGAGCATCCTGTACAACTTCTGCTTTGTTAATATCTTTGTCATCTGGTCAAGAACTTGCCAACTCTGCATTTGCCATACACTTTACAAAATAAGGAACAGAATTGTTTAGTGTGATCCTGACACTTTTTTCCATCTTCTAATCTTTTCCATTGAGACACTTCAGTTTAGAAGTGTCAGAGCCCATCTGGCAGCCTCTTCACACCAAAACACAGAAAGCATATGGTGTGCAATTACTATATAATGCACTTTGTGTTCAAACCACTTAAAATAGTAATGCCTCCAAGGAAATTTTGAACTACCCTTTGGTTCATAACCAAGGTCATTTCAACACTGCTCTCTTGTTGAATAGATGAAAAACTAAAGGCTTTGATCATTTCCATTCCGTGGGATGGAGGTGGTGTTTGTATAAAAGACTTCACTAGAGATTTCATTCCAGCTATCTGGTGGAGAGCTTTCTTCCCTCTGAGAGGAAAGAACCTGCAGTGTTTGCTCTCCAGGACCTTCCTTGCATGATCTCTGTGATGACCTTTCCTCCCACGAAGAGTAATGAATTCCAGAGTCTGCCTTTGCTGCTTCCTTTCTGGGTAAGGCACTCCAAGATGGGCTCTCTCCCTTAATCTCTTAGCTGGTCAAACACTGTCTGTGCTGGTAACAGCTCTCTGAAGGTACCTGATTTGATTTAAGATATAGATAAAGGTGTTAGTTGGTGTCTGTCCTCAGACAAATCAATCTGGTTAAAGGGCATGACTGGCTAGAAACACCCCATCCTCTCAGGCTGCTTCCTCTGCTTTAAATTCCTCTGCCTCTAATCAAGGAGGAAACAATTAAACGGTGTCTTCGAGCTCATAATTAGGCTCAGAAACTTCTTTTCCAATACAAGGACTTTGAAGGTAAGAGAGGGATTTGCAGCCCTACCTAAAAGCCCGCTGGAGGCAGGCGGTGGGACGAGCTGCTCCCCCTGCTCGGCGTGTGATGACAGCCCTCGGCACTAGGCTGTGCTCGTGCATGGGAGAATTCCCAGCGAGGGAAGGGACGCCAGACACCATCCGGAGAAACAGCAGCGATTGAGGCACAACGGAGCTTTTAATCAAGGGAATTCTTATTTTTCCTGCCCTCCTTCCCCAGGCCTGCAGGACTGACCATGCAGGATGCGTGCCAGGCTGCACAGGAGAGGGCTGATAGCACCGTGCTGGCTAATGTGCAGCTCCTCTAAAATCACCTCCAGTCATCAGTTATTGCTGATATTTGCTACTCAAAATACCAGGTTAACAGACCAGCATCCGTTTTCTGATGTTACAGGCAGGGAAAAAAAAAACACAACACCTAAAAGGCGAATTTTAAATGTAAATACTAACGTGTGCAAACAAACCTTTCAGAGTCATTTCAGAGAGCTGCCTTGCTACATGGAGCAAATTCAAAGACATCTAAACATATATTTCACTCATATAGTAAGGTTTGGTAAAGCACAGTTTTCTCCACGGTTTTTTATCCGTTTCATCAGTTATTTTGGTAAAATTGAAACTGTAGAACTGAGATTTTTTTTTTTTAATGAAAAACCTCTGAACTGACAGTGAATTTTATTATTACCTTGTTGAGGCCTCAAGCTTTGGCTAACACTGCAGTACAGTAAGCCATGTTGTACTTGGAAATACAGTATGCCACTAGCAGCTAATTTTCCAGTTTTTCTCCCTGGAATGGCTTCATATTTTGTAAGGTAGGGGGAGTGGAGTTGCATGAAAAGAACATTTATTAAGCTTGAGCTCTGTAATTATGGTTAAATGAAATCTGGCTCTACTTGTGCTTCTTCCTGTTACTGATAGCCTATCTTGGATCTAATTTTGGTAATAACCAAATTTCCAAGCACTGCATATTACTATAATTTAAAAAAAACTGGACAGAAACATTGCCCTTTTTGTCTTTAAATCAACACAGCCAGGGAAGTGTTGAGCTGAAAATCGGTGATACTTTTAGAAAGTATTTTCCCTCATTCCTGCCAAAAACTACAACCTCTACAATATTAAAGGCTGAACGATTTACTTTGTAATTTTTGTCTCCTCCAAAGCTTTCCAAATGAATATTCAACAGCAAGTCAGGATGATGCTTGGTTAACAATGGCATCATTTAATAGACTTTACAAAGACTGTTGTGTTTCCCTCTGGATTGATTGGAAATTAACCCTCTGATCTGGAGCAGCGTGGCTCCGTTTTGGGTTTTTTTTTACATTCAGATAACCACTGTCAGCCCTCAGATTTTGTCCTGGAGAAATGTCCTGGCTTGGAATTGCAGAGAATGCTGTGATTTCACATTTTGGGGCTCCTGTGATCTGGGTTCAGATGTTACACACGAGTTGCCGTGGTCGGCTCAAGGCCACGGGATTTGACTCTGAAGTATTTTCAGCAGTAATAAAATCCGTGGTTATGTATACAGCTGTTACTTTATGGTTTTCTTAGCAACTATAAAACATACAGTCCTGGGGATAAATTTGCCTCTGCACAGTTACAGATGTTTTAAGGGGGTTTTTTTGTAGCTCTGTGTGCTGTGTCTTGGCACTGATACTATAGATCTCTTACTAGAAAAGCAGCACATGCTTGCTTATATATTTATGTACTGTCTAGGAGCTCAGTAGATAAAAGATGAGCAATACCAAGATACCTAATAGGAGATTTTGGTTAAAATATAAATGCTGCAAGAGTTTGCTCACTGCTGATGCCATGGGATACATTTTGCCTTTAATTTCCACAACAGAATGTAACTATTTTTATTATTTTTTTAGAATTGATGTACTGTAACAACGTGCTGTCTGTGCTGTGAGGGATGTTAGACACGTGACAATGGGGTTGTTATTTTGTCTTTTAGGAGAACTGTTTTTTAGGATTATACTCCTGTAACCCTCCATCCTCACCTCCTACAGCAGACACTCTCCCCTCAAACACAGACCTCAGACCCATTTTCTTGCCCATAACTGCACACATTTTTGTCTCCTGCAGCCTGAGCTTTGTGTGTCCCCCAAGCCCACTCCACAGCATTTTGCCCTCAGCTGGAAATGCTGATCTTGGCTCCAGCTGAGTCCCAGAGCTGCTGGATGTGGGCTGGAAGCAGGAGGCTCTGCTCAGCCCCACAGCAGTAATTGCCATTTTGAGATTTCTCACCAGGCAGGTCCTGTGCAAGTCTGTAACACGGCCCATTAACTCTGATTAGTGGAATCTTGCTTTTATGTGAGAAAATTACTTTCAGCTGTCACTCATCTTTTGTATGTATTCTTCTCTTGAAAGAGCAGCTTTCATGTTCCAAACTGTTACTAAAATCCAGGCAGTCCAGAGAAAATACAACTATGTATGTTTGGGGGCAATTAAGCTGAAAATATCCTTCACCTTCTGTTTAGATGAATGGGAACAGTTACCCTTTTTATTTAATGAGTGTCAGTGTAACAGGCATTCCATAGAAAGTGTGAAGATGAATTCATAGGAGTTGAAAAAAGTTAATTTTATTTTTTAGATTTAAGGGAGCACGAACTAAATTCAGGCTTATGTCTGTGCCCATGGCAAATACTGCAGTCAGGACTGATCCTGATGCATGTTCAGGCTTGCAGTTTGCCTTCCTTAAAGCTTATTTTTGATGGAATTGGGGTTATTCAGGTTCAAATTTGTACCTGGGCTGTCAAGAAATTCCAGGTACACAGAGACCCTGATCCTGGCAGTCAGTTTTTGGTGTCAGTGTTAAAAAGATCAGTGTGGTGGGTTCTGAGCTCCAGCTCATACCACATATGGTGCTTTGAGGTGTCGAGGGCTCAGTAACCCAGTTTTCTATCACACCAATGAAATTTAGAGACATTTTTTGAGTGTTTGTTTCCAGGGGATACCAAGATTCGTGGTCTCCTGGTCACTCCATTTGTGATGAGCTGGAAAAGGTCAGAAATTGCACAGGGGGAGAAGAGCTGGGACCAAACCATCCAGAGGGTCCCCTGGGCTGGTCTTGGATCTCACACTTGGAGTCCATGTCTGTGTTCTGGGCAAACAGCAGGAATTGCTGCTCACATGGAACTCCTGAATAAGCAGAGAGAACCCTTCGTGTACTGCACACACAGGCTTGATGTTTCTTAAATAATCCTGGGAGCTGGATATTTACTGAGTAGAGGAGGAGAGAGAAATGCTACAGTTCTCTGTTGCAGGAGGAGCAGATCTCCCCAAACATGTGCTGTACCCACGTGTGTGTCAACATGTTTGTCCACATCTTCAACTACAATCAGTTCTCCCTTTGCAATCTTGCAGTATTTTTCCAAAATAAAACAACTTTATATCTTCATTATCAGAACAGTGTTTAGGTAGAGCAGCAAGTAACTGGCCTGGTACCAACTTTCAGATGGCAGTTACTGAATAGTTGGTTATTTCTCTGTGCCTTTGGATTCAATCTCGATGGAAATGAAACAAATACATTGCTTACATCGTAATTATGTGTGAACATGGCTAAAGGTTGTTATGTTTTAGTGTTAATTAGTGTTCATGCTACACGAGCACCTTCATTTATGTAGCTTTTGGGGTTTTTGCAGCCTGCTGTGAATTCCTTTGTGTGATGTTCTGCGTCAGTTTTTTCCAGTAGGGAGCTTTGCTGATGAAAAACAGGCATGCAATTCTTCAGATAACATATTTTAATGGCTTGCAGGTTCTCTCTCATTCTTCTGTACATATTTTTAAAACTGCAAATCCCCTGAATGGTGCCACCTTTGCTGAAATGATGTGTTTGAGATCCCTTTGGCCCTACTGTAAAACTTACATCAATTCACTGAGTTAGAGTGATGTTAATGCTTATAAGCAAAAGGTCTTTGAGAAGTGACCTTTTTTATTGTGTTCTGTATTTCTTGTCTTCAGGAAACATGAACAATTTCACTAATTGATTGTTTTAGTCACGGTGTGTAATTGGTTTTAATTTATTTCTGTTTCCTGCTCTGCCAGTGATCTTCCTGTGATAAACATGATGGAGCTCTACCTGCTTTAAAATACCTCTGGATAAGTCAAGTTTGCATTCTTTAGCTCAGGCTTTGGCTATTTGATTCAGTTTATTTGGCTTTGAAGTTTTGTTGGCGAGAAATTTCAGAGGTGCTGCTTTGGAAAACAAGAAGATGAGAAAATTTATGTGTTCTTTTGTAAGATTCAAATAATATGCTTTGTCTGCAGCTGTGGTGGAGCTGTAGGATTGAACTGGGAAAAGGCTCTGATCTCAGAAGTGGCATGTGAGTGCAGTGCAGTGAGAAACTTGTATAAAGTATGAATTCATTACACAGCCTGTCTTTGTAAGTAGGGCTCTGGGAGGAGGAGGAAGTCTTTTACAAATAGGTGTCCTCAGAGAAACTTGTCTCTGTTTCAGAGGTCTGGAAACTGAGGCACAAACACAGGCCTGGCCAGGGACTAAAAAGCAAATAACACTGAAAGCCAGGACTGGAGCACCAGCTTCTGCACCTCCATCGAGTGCTCCAGGCACTGAACCAGGCAGTTCTCAGCTCTTGAGGAAAAAGCACTAAATCTTTCATGCATTCAGCTGAATTGGCCAGACTTTTGTACAGTGAAGATGGTATTTAATATCTTTACCCAGCTCTGTTCACTTCTACGTGGGTGGGTTTTTTCTCATTGACTCCCTAAATGACCTGCTTTCAATTTTAAAGGATTTCAGTGCTCGTCTTCTGTCATTACTGAGGTTTTATATCTGTCCTTTCATTAGTTATGACAGTAGTAGATGGCAGCAGTTATAAATACCTCATCTCTTTGACAGTAGAGCAGCCACGAGTGGTGCTCTCAGCTCAGAGTTAAATCGTGCCATGCTCTCCACAGTCTCATGCTGTAAACATCAAGCTGCCAAATAGATCTAAGTGATTAGCATGGGAAAAAAAAAGGAGGTGTATTCACTGCTTCCCACCAGTGGAAACATATTTGGTTTTCACCCTCGATTATCCAAAAGCAAAGCAATCCAATAATAAGTAAATAGGAGGGTTTCTTTGAGCTTTCTGTTGTGAATTGTTCATTTAAAAATCGCAAGCTTTTCTTCTGAAGCTGAAAGTCATAATTAAAACGATTTTCCAGCATTTATAAAAATGATGGCAGAATAACTCAGGGATTTTTTAGGATTTTGGTTTTATTGCCAGCAGGTTGGATCTAAAACCGACAGTCAGCGTGTCATCTCTTTGGAGCTGTTTTCTGTTCTTAAGGGCTGTGATTACACATCACAAAACCCTCTGGTGTAACAAAGTTTGGTATCAGCAGAGCAGTTGTCTTTGCTGAGCCATAGTCCCCTCTCTTCTCCTGTTCCCATCACTGAGTCACTTGGAGTTATGGGCATTTTAGCTGAAGAGGGTCTGTTGGATCATCCAGTCTGTGGCAATACAGGATTTCTCCTTCAGGACACATCAGCCAGGAAAATGTGATGCCAGTGCTGCTCATTCTGTGTGTTCAGTGGGTAAATGCAGGGCCTTATTCTCTGGGGGTCAGCTGTGTGCTGCTGAAGTGCTGAATTCAGTCTCTGGACACGTCCACGTGTGTGAATGTACGACCAGAGCAAGGCATTGCTCCTCACAGGCTTCTCCTGAGCCCCTCGGGCTTTGGCCGTGTAGCAGTGCCTGTCCCTGACTGCTGGAGGGCTGGAGTGCCTGGTGAGGGGGTTGGATTTCAGGGGCAGACGCTGTCAGAGGCCATTTGAGATGGGATGGTGTCTCTGAGGTGTCTCCAGACACACAGACATCGACCCGTTGGTTGTAAACGCCTGCGTGGAGTGATCTGTGCGCTCTCTTGAAAGCCAGGAGGTTTCCTTTCTAAGCAACCCACAGGTGCAGTAAACTGAGGGAAAACCCTTCAGAATTGGTTTCAACATGCATCAAAGATGCCCTTTAAATAGTAATAAATTCCAAGATTTAGTTCTTCACAACTGTAGTTTACTAATAGTGATCTGTTTGTATTTACTTTGTGTTTGCGCCGGGCTAAAAGAATAAGCAAGTTATTGCCATTTGGCTGATGGATTGTAACTTCTTAGGTATGATAATTGTTCTTGTGGTTGTGTGTTCATAACAGAAGAGTCTCTGATTTCTGGTGAGTTGTTTAGCATTTCTGCACAGCCTTAACAAAGTAACAGTGCGTGTTAATTAATGTTTGTACAGTAATGGTCTAAATGTCTCTGCTTGCCACCTTGGACTAGAGGTGGCAACAGCAGCCTGTCTAAACACACAAGAAAATACTGTGTTTAAAACACCCAAATGATGTCGATTAAACCACACTGCAAACCCAGTCAGAATTATTCCTGGCAGTGGCATTTCATGCCTAAGTTATCAGGAATGTATTTGCATCACACCAGTCAGTTGAGGGGATCCTCAAATTACATAGTAATGTGGATTGTCTTACACTTTGCTTTTAACCAGGGCAGAAAAGCTCCAGCTGCTGAACCACAGGCCTGTGACGGCAGTTGAAATCCAGCTGGTGAGTAACAATGCCTCTGACTGTTCAAAGCTTAAATGGAAGCAGCTTTAACCTTGAAGATCAATTGAATAATTACTTTCTCATGGCCAGTGATTGAATATATCCCTTTATGCACATCTTTACATCCACTGTTTCAAATCCACTCAGCTTCCTGTCTGAGACCTCCTTAGAGACTTGCCCATCTTTCTCTCAGACAGATTCTCCACCTCTTTTTTGCTTCAGTGTCACATGTTTAAAATGCTTGATGCAGTCATTAAAAGGTTAGTAACTAGAGTATTGCAACTAAGATTATATTTAACCTGGGTCTTTTTGCTGCTGCAGCTCTGCAGTCATGTACTTTTGACAGCTGCCATGACATGGTTGTTTTGGTGGCAGAGTTCTGTGTTGCACTAAAACCAAATGTGCTAAAAAGAAATTAATGACTGATAGCGAATTGTGAGCAGTGATGCAGAATGAGATATGGATATAAACAGGCTTCCTCATGTAAAAGTAGCCATTGCCAACCTGTTAAGCATAATTTTGGTGTAAAGAGGGATTGTCACTAAATAGAAAGAGATGATTATATTCCCGGAAGGATCTCCTTAGGAATCCAAACCCCCGTGGTAATAAAGAGCTTGTTATAATCAGGATATTATTTCAATGAAGATCTCTTGCATTAAGAACATCTGTTTGCCATCTTAACCTGAAACCAAAGCGAGGAGTAACAGGATCGTATTTTGCTGCAAAGAGGGGAAGGATTAAAGAGGCACCAGTAGGACTATTTTTCTTCTGTAGCCACAGAATAGGGATTATAACGCTGAAGGCGTCTCTTGGAAGAATGTTTCTAGCTGAGGAATTAATGCTGTGTTTTGTGATTGAGGAGATCAGTGTCAATCATCAACCCAACCAAGAGCATTAAGGCTTCATGAGCTCTGCTTAGGCACTTAGTCATAAGCCATGATGTGGAGCCTGTCTCGTGCCTTTGTTAGCCTCATGTGCTTAGACACAGATTTATTTTATTGCCATAGACAGTTTCTTTTTCCCTTCTTTAAATGCAATAATCTTTTGCTGCTTTCAGGTGACTGTATGGTTTTGTTTGTGTCTTCCCTCCTCTCCTTGTTAATCCTCCTTAGTTCCTTATTATCTTACCTACCCATAAAATATTGAAAATAGTTTGCTTCTGTGTCATGTTTGAAGTCCAGGAGGTAAATATAAGAAATTTGGGCCTTTCTATTAGAAGTCAGGTTTCTGTAGAGTGTCGTACTTTGGATATTCCAAGGTTTGTAGTGTGAAAGTTAGATAAAACTCATTGCTAAAACTTGCAGAAACACAGACACGAGATTTGAGTCCAGTGGCAGTTCATTACTTATCCAGAACCTGTCCCTAGTGGTCAGTTGTGAAAAATGTGATATTCGTACATTTGGGGATTAGCCTGAATTTCTGTTGTCATGGAGGTGTCGGGGATGTACTTACTCCTGTTCCATTGCAATTCCCCTGTAATTCCCAGGGCTGGTTTCTCCAAAACCAGCATTACAGTGATCTGAGTTGGCTGGGTTGTTAACGCTGTGTTAGATGAAGCCTCCCCGAAATTGCAGTACATTTACTCTCTCATCAAAGTGCATCAAAGTTCTTTTGAGCTCAATAACTGCTGGGAAACTGCAGAGTGGTTCATTTAAGTGAAATCCAGAGCCTGGGAGCCTCAGCAAGGAAATGATTTTGCTGTTCAGTTGCTGTCTTGAACCATTTGGGGTTTTGGTGAGGACAGGGGAAGGAGATTGTAGCAATCACTGAACACACAAACCCCTCTGTCTTCTGTGAGTGTGAAATAACGCAGAGCAGGGGAGGCTGCTCTGTTTTCCTTTGATGTCCGTGGGGAGAAGATTATCCACACACAGATTTCATGCAGGCAAGTCAATTCACTGCAGCTGATGGATGGGAGACAACCTACTGAGAAGTGAATATTAGGGTCTAAAATTGCCTTGATTCTCTTTCCACTGAACTTCCCCCTGCCTCTTAAAAGCTGTGAGTTGCTCCTGGAGTTGAATCAGAAATAAATGATGATGAAAGCTTCTGACCAGTTCATTTAATGCAGGCACATCAGTCTTCTTTTTAAAAAAGCTTTAAGCAAAATGCTAAACAAGCCATATCTATCTCTCACTTCCTCAAAGAGTTTTGATGTCTCAAACTCTTATTCAGTGTTGCCCGTCCATGGAATGAAGACAAATTTACCTGACAGGCTTTTAATTGCTCATGTGACAGGATAGGTATATTTATTGTTACTTTTTTGCCTTTCCAGGTTTTTAGGTTTTTACTCTCCCTCTACGAAATTCCCTGGTTTTAGTTGTATGCAAATAATAGATCAATTTTGATAAAAATATATTTAAGCTAAAAAAACAAATTTGTGTTGTGATCTTTTGATCCCAGGGTCTTCTGTAAGTCTTTATGCATAAATTGGTGCCATTGTCCGTATTTGTCTTTTCCAGACCGTGTGCCAGGGTTTATTTTCAAACAACAATAGCAACAAAAGGAGCATGAAATTCTAATTCATACCCCACAGGGTAAAGCACTGTACACACTGCAGCTATCTTGACCTCCTGTTCTAATCTTTAACATATGTTGTTCCTGGCTCAGTAATTCACAAAGGAGGAAGAAAAAAGACACTGATGTTCATCTAACCATGGCAGTGGTTCAGCTTTGCTTAGTGCTGAACTGTGGTGGGGTTGAAGATTAAACATCTTTTCTAATGAACAAATTGCTCCACGTTCTTCTCTCCAAATGGAAAAGTAGATTTTAATTCTGTGCTTTTTAAAACTGGATTTCCATCTGTCAAACCAGACAACCTTGTACCTGTGTGCTCTGCATAACCAGGCTGGCAGATTCTCTTTTATTCTTGACTAGAAAGTAATAATGTAAAGTATTCTTCTGGAAAATGGAAGATCTTAGAGGATTTAAACATTTTATTTTCTCAACAATATATTCTGCTTCCCACTTGGTTAATTAGCTCTGAGGGACATTAATCCAATCATTCAGTCTTTCACTTTATTTCTTTTTTTATGTGTTTTTTTCCTATTAGTGTGTTAGTGCTGAACAATTTCAAATTACTGCTCAAAGGAGGAAATAACAGTCATTTTCTCATCAAACATCTACCTCCTACACTGGAGTTAAATTATGTACTTGATTGCTTTGGAAGTGATCAGAACCCCTATTTCCTTTATTACTGTATTTACTGTTTCTTTTTTAAATAGAACTCTTGGCTTATGATTCAAATAAACAGTAGCTTTTGGCCCACAGGTTGTTCTGCTCTGTGATGCTGAGGTTTGTTCCCCACCAAATATTACTTGTCCTTCAGACGGTTCCTGACTTCTTTCATTACTTTTTGGGGTTCTTCAGTGTGGCTTTATTTATTCTTCAACATTTGCACTGTGTCCTCCTGTCTCAGGAGACTAAACGAAATAAACAATTAGCATTGAAAGCTTGAAAGAAGCACAGCAAGGACGATGAAGTTTCTTATACTTGGCTTTTATTTGGGCAAGCAGAAAAGGTATGGTTTTAATTAGGAAAAGCCTGTTCCAAAGTGTTTGTCCTTGTTTCACCAACTAAAAAAAAAAACCTACACAATTATGTGTGTATATGTCTGTGTTCATATTTTGTGCTTAGATTCGTACGTGGCACTGTGAAGGTACAGATTTGCACATTTAATTTATGAACAAACGCTTTAATCTTTGAAATTATCTTAATAGACTAGCTGTTACTTTCTGATTTACCTCCTCCACAAACCAAATCTTTAAAAGCTTCTGAAAAATGACTTTCTGCCCTGAGAATTCACCAGCAGGTCTTGACGTGACTCAGCGCTTCATGTCATTCTGTTGATTACGTCCTGATTTGGTAATTATGGTTGTTTTGTTCCTCTGAGAAGTTCAGGCACAGTGCTCCGTTTAAAAAAGCTCCTGTTAAAATGTGCAGCTGGGAAGGGCTGCGTGGAGGCAGTAAAATATCCCACATCCACATTTGTTTAATGAGCACAGCTCTGGTTCCCAGTAGTGGTTCCGTTATGGAACGAGGCATCTGCCAGGGCTTCAGGCTGCACTTGGAGAGGGATTTGTCTTTGCATTCTCTTACAGCAAGATTCAGGGGTGGGTGTCAGATGCCTGTTTCATTTTCCAGGGTTAGAAAGCCCATGCACAGATGTATCTAGAGAGGAAAAGGAAAACTGGCATCATTTTCTTGAGCTATTCTCCATTTAGTAAACATTTGCCTCATTTTAAGCTTCAAGTCCAGTTAAGTTAGTTGGAGCTCTTAGATACTTGAAATTAAGTCCAAACATAAGCTCTGGCTTAACAGTTGTATGCACAAGGTGCTTAAGCAAGTGAAAAATTGGTTATTAGATTTCTAAATAAAAGTAGCATTGCTCTCAAAGGTGAGCAGAACTGTGGCTTCAGCTGCCCTCTGAATACTTGTATATATTGCACAGTTCTGAAAACCTGGCTGTTTTTATCAATACATTATCAATAAAGTAAGAAGCAACTCTGGGTACCCAGGCTTGAAAAGTAAATACAAACTGCAGAGGGAACGTGCCCCTTTTATTTTTAGCTGTAGGAATTTTATGCCAATTAAGTTCCCAAATAAGGTTTTCTTGATTCCTTCTTTGGTTGTCTTGTAGATTGTATTGTGTAGAGCATTAGCTCTATATTGTTCAGAGGATTGGGAAACTGAAATGTGAAAATTGCTTCCTGTATGAGTATATTGCAATGGGAATTTAATAACTAACTGTTACGAGTTTGGGTGAAATAGAAGTTATTAGTGAGGCCTGACTTGACTGAATTATCTCGACCACATAGTTGCATTTCACAGATAATTCATCCTGTGTGTATGTATGAATGACACTGATGTGCTGTAGCATTTGCTACTAAAACCCTGGAGTTATTTTGGGATAGTTTAGACTTGAATGTAGTGACTTGGGAATGATTTATTACGGAAGCCACAGAGCTGCCACAGCTCACTGCCCTTCCCTGTGTTCACTTCCCAAACCCCTCGCTCAGCCCTGGGAAAGGGACATGCTTGTCTTGCTGCACATCAGGGTGCTTTTTCTCTATAAATTGCATTTCTGTAACACTGCCCAGTTCTGTTACTTACCCAAATCCCTGAATATTGAAAATAGGTGGGTCAGCAGCGCTTGGGTTGACGAGACCCTAAACTTTGCACATGGCACAGTCTGTGAGGGTGAGCTGTTTCCATTTGGGGTGTGTGGCACCGCCAACATCAACATCTTAGGTCATACACTTACTTCAAACATTTGCATTTTTGTTTTCCTTACTATAAACTTTGCATTCCTGACTGCTTATGGTTTGAGTCTGTTGCTTGAGCAGTTTCAGCCAAGTGCAAGTTAGAGGTTAGCAAGGCTTTTTGTTAGATATTTTTTCATAGATTGGTAAAATGCTTGCTAGAAAAGTAGGTGCTTGAATACAGTCGTTTCATTTTGCCTCTTAGGCTTTTTCTTACACATAATTTCTCAGCACCATATTTTCTAGTTACTATGGGTAGCATTTTGTCTTATAGTTGTAAATCAGAAGGCTGTGAGAACATCTGTTGAATGCAGGAAAAGCCTCTGGGTGACCTTCTGTTCCCCTTGAGATCTGTTTTCCTTTAGGACAGTTTCATTTGTCTCTTTATCTGCATGCTGTCTGTGCTTAATTTTTGAATTCTGCCTTTTGGCCTTCTGCTTTGCTGCTTCCTCACTGCTTATGTTTTCATAAGTCAGGCTCAGGCTGGTTTTTTTCACTTCCCTAAAGACTGAAAAAAATTGATTTTTATAGTTTATGCTTTTGATCCTTTGAACTCTTGAATAGTATCACAGCAAAATAGCACTGGAACATCAACCTGAATAGTCAGCTGTCTGTCCCTCCTGCCAAATTTGTATCTTTTGGTGGTTCCTGATGTGAGGGCTGGTGGAGAGGCACCAAGAGGGATGAGCACTTGGTGAGGCTGATGCAGTAGTTTAAGGACTTACCACTTCCCTCTGGCAGAGGTTAGGGATCTGTCAGCAGAAGGGAATCTGGAGCTACATCCCCCCTTCTCAGAGCAGTGTCTGGCATCTTGCTTTAAAGATGCTTTTCTCAGTTACGGCACCAGAGCGTCTGAAACACGAGAGACTATTTTCGTTCATCAACTCTGTGCTAAAGTGTGATTCCTTGAGCTGCCAGGGCAGTCACCAGAGCTCATCTGTCACTGTCCAAGTCGTGTCTGCAGTTTGTCAGCCGGGCAGGGCTCGTGCTCAGCCAGTACAAATGACATCAGCGGGGTTGTTCGTCCTGGGAGTTGGGGCATTACTCATTTGGAGTGATGTGCTCACTGAGGAACATGCAAAAAAACAGTGATTAGATTCTCACATAAGTATATTCTGTCTTAAATAAGAGTTGGTGCTGATCTAGAACTCAGTTTTCTGTTTGAGTTTTGATTCTGTCCTTATGTTTAACTCTGTCTCCCTGAAGCAAGCACCTGAAGGAGAAAGTGTTCAGAGAAAAAGAAGGGAGAGGGGAGATATAAATAGGGAAGGATAAAATTAAAATGGGTGGACTTCATGCCATCCAATAAATCAAATCTAAACTAGGCAAAGTGCCATTTTTCTGAAGATCAGAAAGCAAAGGGGGACATTGGCCACTAAGAGCTCAGTCATCCTGCCTGGAATGATATTGCCTGTCCAAAGCATGTGGGCTGGTTCTTTGTATTTTCCTGCTGCTGTGGGGTTGTCACCTTTAAAATTCAATGTAACAGTAATTAATAACACTATAATCCAGTCTGAAAACCAGGCTGATAATCCTCTAAGAAATTTAATAGCACAGGGCATCTGTAGATTAATGCAGAGTCAGCAGGATTGGCACCAAGGAGTGGGTGTAACATACTTTACTTTATCATGGAATCACAGAACCCCAGAGTGGTTTGGGTTGGGAATAACCTGAAGGAACATCTAGTTCCAACCTCCCTGCCATGGAGAAGGACACCTTCCACTTCAACATTTCATGGTATGGTGTTGATGCTCCAAGGTGTGCTGGTCAGGCTGCTGGGATGATCCCCTCTGGATGCAGCCTGGCAGCAATCACCTCACCCCACTGCAGCAGCTGCAGCAGTTCTCACAGAGAAGGAGGATTTTTAGTGTGTTTTTAGTGTATTTTAGTGTGTTTTAGCACATGGAGTACAGTGGAGCAGGTGGCTGGAACAAGAGCCAGGACTGTTGTTCAAGCCAGTGTCCTACAGTAGTTCTTGAGCTAACAGTACTTGGAAAGCCACTCCACAGGGAATTTCATCCTTTGATCGGGGATAGTCCCCAGAAACAGTCATTTGCAGATGGATATTCAGTGTCTGCCTTTTGCTACATGAGTGGATTTGAGCTGTGTGCACTTCCACTCATCCAGGATCTGTGGATAATGCTGATGAACAATGATCAGATTGTGCAAAGAGGGCTCGTAGGACTCTGAAGAAAAAAACAAGTTAATTGAATATACCACTCAGCTTTTCAGAAGGCACGATGCATCTGAGTAGCTGACACTTTATAGCTGGAGCTGATTAAACCTGCATTGACTTGGAACCATAATTAATATAAATCACTGCTCTTCAAAGGACATTTTAAAGGACTTTGTAAAAAAAAGAAAACTCAAACCCCACAATCCTAATTGGTTTCATTTGCGTTTGAAGAGTTCTTCTGACTTGCTTTTCCAGTCCTCTGACAAGCTTTTTTCCCTTTTAACAGCTGCCTATAAATTAGGGCAGTTGTTTTACTGGTGGCAGTGATATAAGAGTTCCCACAGCTCCACAGTGGGAGTAGGTCCCCAATTAATCTCATGGAATCATATAGTTGATTTTGTGACAGCATATTTTGTGTTGCTCAGAGCTTTTTAAATGCCTTTATACCCAGGAATCTCCAGTCTAAGCAAATTCCAGTACAGTGTAGCTGCTGGAGGATTAGGTGGTTTCTTTTATGGCCTGGTTACTTACAGTCCAGGTGCCAAGGTTCAGGGAACCACTCTCAGGATATCTCATTTCAGTGCTCCCATGAAAGCACAGGAACTTGGGAAAACAGGTCTGGGAGGTAGGTCTGAACGAGACCTAAATGAAAAGCCTGGCTCAAGACATGGATGTGTAGGTTGAGAGAGACTCGAGGAGAAACCAGGGAGGAAAGGCTGTTCTGAGCACGGTGTGTTCCTTGTTGGAAGGAAAGCAGGGTCTCATTCCAGAGTGCCAATTGTAGTGGTTAACAATGGAGCTCTCCTTTCTTTTTTTTTTAAATATTGCAAGAGTTCTGCTTTGTAAAATGCTTTTGTAATGAGCTCAGACTGTATCTCGCCTCCATTGACAAAGTATTTCCCAATGAGTTGAGCTCTACTCTTTGGAGCTGAGGAAGGAAGTGTGGATTTAATGATGACAATGGATTGTTTTTTGACCTGCAGATGGTAGAAGAAAGCGAGGAAAGGCTCACAGAGGAGCAGATCGAGTCACTTCTCCAGACAGTCACGAGTATTCTTCCAGGGGATCCAGAAGAACAACAGAGAGACTCGGCAATGGCAGTGGAAGACAAAGGTGACCAAGCATAGGAGGCTTCTAGACCAAAGCTGGCAGCAGTTTCAGAAGAGAATCAGCTAATATTTTTCTGTTTTTAACTTGATACCGGTTTAATCCTGTACTGGACATAATTGTAAAATATATTACCATTTTTATTACTTGGAGGAGGTGGTGAGGGAACCAATTGTTTACAAGAAAGCACAGAAAAAGACACTATTGTTTTGGTGTTTTGTCATCAACAGGGATGGCAGTAACTGAGCCTGTAATGGAGCAGCCTGAGAAAGCATGGGGCACAGGATCTGAAGCTTTTGTAATTTTTCATTACCCATGTAACAGCTGTACATTTGAATAGGCCCATGTACAGCTGGCAATGTTTGAATTATCACAGCAGTGCTATAATGATAATTGCTTTCATAAGCTTTGGAATTGCCCAACTGCCTTTCAGAATAGGGGCTGCAATGCAAAGCCAGCTTCTGGGGCTGTTTGGTGAGCAAAACAGAGAGAGGTACAAGAGCTGCCTGGGGTCTGGCCAGGCACTTCCAAGGAGGCTTTTGGCATCACAGAAGTGAAAGGATCTGTTCTCAAGGGTGTCTGGCAGTCCCTCCTCAATAACAGAGAGATCCAGATCACCAGCTAACTCAGCAAATTGCCTCAGAAACCAGGGAGTTGGGCCAGTTTACAGCAGAGAGGCTCTGGACTCAAATCTTAAAGCTCTGACTAACAAACAGCAGAATATTGAGGGGTGAGGTGTGTATTTGCCCTTTGAACATTAATTCCAATATTTATACATAGACCAGTCAGTCCTGTGGACGTGCTGTTGGTGGTGGAATAAATGAGTCAACACTGAGGTCCTAATCTGGTTTAGGAGAATGAGAGTCTGTCCTGGATGAGGCAGAATTTTCTGTGTGCTGAGCTTTTGTCTGGTTAAGGATTTCAGGATCAAGTGTTTAATGTTGAAAGCCTTGATGATTATAGTAAATCATTTGTGTGTGTGTATATATACACACATAAAGTCAGGAGCTACCATGGCACTGCTTTATGTTATGGCTGCAGACCATTCTTTTGTAATTATTATAAGGTACTGGAAATAGAAGTAAAATTTTAAGTACATCCTGGGAATTTTGTGAATTGCAGACAAGATATTAAGACCTCAAATCAGATATCTGACTTTTTTCCCTCCTCAGGTCTGTCATGGCTTTATTTTGTGTTTTTATGCAAAGAATTTACGCTTTCTGAGCTTTAGTTGTGCTGTATATGAAAGGGACTGATAAAGTCCCGTGTCTGGGGGATTTGTGATATGTGTTTCCATGGTATTTAAGCTTCTTTGATGTTTGGAGAGGAAAGAAAATTATTGGAAAATGTATTTGTTGCCTCTTAAAGATAATTTATCTTATATTAAATGCTTTCCAAGGCTGGAGACTAAAGGTACATTTTGACCGGGTAAGTGTAGTACAAGAAGGGGAAAGTCCTCAGTGGTTTTGTGAATACATCAATATGTATTTTTCTCTCTAAATGTGCAAGAAAACAAGAAAGATAAGTGGATCGTATCACAGAATGACATGCAATTAATTTTAAAATTAGCATTTTTATTCACAGCAGTCACTGATGTTGTTTGACATGCTGTGGCCTTGGGCTGCGGGTGTTTACATTTGCATCTGTCCTTTTCTAAAATTAGGTTATTGAAGTCTGTTCTAAACTTATAAAAAGCAGATGGAACCAGATCACAAGTATCCTCAGCCAGCAGGAATGTTTTAACAGGTCCCCGAAGCTGGATGCTCCATCCTGGGAATTGGTGGTTGGTTGTCATCATGGGTGTTTGCCAGCATCCGTGTTCTCTTGATGTGTGGGTATTGTACAAGGTGCAGGAACTCTTTCATTTGCTGTTGTATTTAACCTTTTCATCAGTATCAGTTCCAGACGGATACATCTGTTGAATTCATGGATCATTTGTTGAGACTCAAAGATGCATAAACGATGCATAAATTTCCCTAAAAAATGCAATACTAAATGACATTTGAAAGGATCTGGGATTTTGGCATCTGCATTACATCAAGAAATGATTTTTAGATCTCCAGTCCGTGCTCTCTGTCGCTGTAAGTCCAGGGGGGGGAGTTACTTGGGCTCTGAGGGCAGGTTTGTGTTGTGTTTTTCACTCTGGTCCGTGTTGGGAACCCAAGGTCAGAAGTGGTTTATGGAAAGCAAATGTCACTTTGCTGCTGTGACACCATTTTTCCAGTGTCTTGCATGTTGAACAAAAGCCCTGCCCCTCTCCCAAAGCTGCTTTTTGTTTCCTTAACTAACCAGTTAGACCACAATAGATGGACCCTGTGACAGTTCTGGTGGAGGAGAGGAGGCAGCACCAAGAGTGGCTGATGCTCTGGGGGTGCAAGAAAGGAACGTGTGTGTCGGGCACTGAAAAGCTCAGTCCCTACTTTTTGTGAAGAAACACAGTCCTCAGCACCTTCTGAATGTTTAAAAAATTTATATTATTTTTACTTTTCTCATTTTTTCTCTCCTCGCTTTTATTCTCTGTTGTGTGTTTGGGTTTTGGCAGATGAATGGCTTTGCCCAGGGCAGCTCTTTGTGCTCTCAGTGGGAGAAAGGGGGAATGAGCTGCCAGAATTCCTTTGCTGTTGAGATACTTTAAAACACCTGGGGTTTCTCTTTTCATAAATTCAAGCCTGAGAAGCCCAGATTTCTTTGGCTGGAGAAGTTTTATTAGAAGAAGCTTTATTTTATGGGAGGAGGAGGAGCTGCTTCTCCTACCTGGCTGTGCTCTGCTGCTGGGCAAGGGAAATAGAGATACTGGAAACAGATGTCCACAGGGAATTTTGTGGAAGATACAGGAAATCCCTCCTGATATGCTGAGCAGCTTGGGTGGAGGTCAGGCTGTGGCAGGGCTGTGTGTGAGGCTGTGCCCACCACTGAAATGCAGAGTTTGACAAGCAGGGAGCAAACTGCATTTGGTTTGTGTTTGTATGGCATGTTCATTAGCTCAAGGTGTGCAGTCCTAGTTAGAAAAAGCAAACCCACAAAATTTGGAGTTTTGGTTTTCTTTGGAAGCAGGTTTTCTCCTGCAGCAGGTCTTCAAAGAGCACTGAAGTTGTACATGGAAATGGTGTCCACACATGTGTAATTCATACTTTGCTCTTCATCCCATTGGAAATACATGTTTTTTCCAACTGATGGTTGAAGGGGGAGGACTTGGTTGACCCTGTCTGAGGTGGGAGGTTGGACTAGGTGATCTCCACAGCTCCCATCCAACCTCAACATTCCTGTCAGTCTGTTTTTCCTTCCTCCCACTATGAACTCGGGCTCTCATTAAGGACTGGGGTGCAGCAGACTGGGAGTTCCTCCCTTGTCCCCCTTCCCATCCATGCCTTTGCAGATGGGAGTTTGAGGCTCTGACAAAATGCAAATACTTTATTTCTGGGATATCAGCAAAGAGAATGGGACAGACTTGAAGGATTGCAGCGGGATTTCGTGTCGTGGCTCTGGGTTTATCAGTCGCTTGAGGCCTTGAAATGGGGGTTTATGGAGTTGCTCCATGTGAGCAGCTGAGTCTGCTCCAAAAGAGGCTCCTCTGGTGTGAAGGATGTGTCCCAGGATGCTGCTGAGATAAGGTGGTGTTGCAGTTTTCTCTTGAATTTTGCTTGGTTGAAACAAAATTTTCTCTTGAAATTTGCTCCATGGGCCAAATTAATCAGTAGTGCCTCTCCCCTGCCTTAAATTTGGCCCAAAACTCCTGCACTCTGGCTGTGCTGGGCCCCTCTGCATCGAGCCACGGGTGAATTATCCCAGCCCAAACTGGGATCATTCTGGATCCCGGTTTTTAAACGCACACATTTTTATTCTGCATTGCATTTTCTATGATGAAACTTTTTATTGCCTCTGCCTCCCTGGGGTGGCAGCTCTGCCACACTTGGCAATGTGCAAACAGCACGTTCGGAATCCCAGAAACTGCCTCGCTTCCTTTGGCATGACATCCACTTCCCTTGCCTTTGGACACAGGCTTTGGAAGCATCGGTCTCAACTGGGAGCTACTGTTGTTTGACTTATGAAACACTTCAGGCTTTGGCAGAGGGGAGTCAGGAGAGCCTGTGTGCACCTCAGCCTGGCCAATATCAGGCTTTTCCTTCTTTTCTTTTTCATTTCTACCCATAACCAGCCTTTTCCAGCCTGTTCTTGTCCCAGCTTCCGGAGCAAAGGGGATGCCAGGCTGTTCCAAACAGAAGGAACAGGAAGATCTTCCATGCCTAAAAACTTGTCAGGGTTTTTTTTTGGTTTTTTTTTTTTGCAATATTACCAGTTGGTCTCAATAACAGCATCTGGTCCCAGTATCTCTCACTGATAAGGACATCTGTGGTTATGAAATGTTCCTGGTAATTCAGAGGGACTCAGAGAAGTGTCTCAGTTGACTCCTCCAGTGCAGGCAGACGATGCTCACATGTTCACCACACAGCAGCTGCCTCTTCATCCCATAAAACAAAGCCTTACATCTGAATCTGAGTGACAACTATTGTCCTTTCTGGATGACACAGTGACCAGACAGGCATTAACCCTCGGCTCCTGCTGTTCCCAGAGCTCAGTTCTTCACCCTTGGAGATTTATTCCCTTCCTGTGGATGAGCAGTGCTGGTGGAGGATGCAGTGTGTGAGGAGCCAGCATGGCAGGACAGTGATGGGAGATACCCATGGATGGCTGTGTGGAGCAGCACTTGGGGAATGAGGTGCATGTGGAGAGGGGACTGGATTGCAGGGTCGGTGTTTGCCACCTTGAGAGCTTTCCATGGGGTCCAGCAGAAGGAGAGCTACACAGTGCCTTTGGAGCTGGACTTGATCAGCCAGCTCTGCCACCAGCCTGTGGCCTCAGGGAAGTTGTTTCTCTTCTCCCTGCCTTGGTTTCTTCTTTGGCCAAAGCCCTCGGGGGTGACAGGGGTGATCCATGGGCTGGGCACTGCAGGGCTGGGGGTTCACAGCCCCCCAAAACCCTCAGGGTGATCCGTGGGCTGGGCATGGACAGGGCTGTGGGTTCCCAGCAAAGCTGACCCCTGGAATGCTGCCCAAGGGCCTGTTTAACATTTTTGTGCATCCCCACGGATAAAAGAGCCTTTTGTGCTGACAGCTGGGAGCTGAGGAGGAGGCTGCAGCCCTCAGCTTCCCTGTGCTTTGGGAGCAGAGTGTGGGTGTCCATGACTGCTGTGACCGTGATCCCGTCCTGGACACGTGAGTGTCCGTCGTGCTCGGGGCTCTGCTCCCAGCTCCCGGCCCTTCCACAGCAGCCCTGACACGACCGTGTCCTTGCATCTCTGCAGTGGATGCTTGGAGGTTGTTCATTACAGGGACAAGAGTGTGGAATTCCGCAGGGCACGGAGCTGCCAGACATCCCAGGAATTACCCCACCACGAAGGCACGTCCTGTGTGTGCTGCACAGCGTCCCCATCGCTCGCGGCAGAGGTAACGGGGAGCTGACCTGTGTGGGGGAATGACTTCCTAAGGAAAACATCTGTGCTCTTGAGTTGGGCACAGGATCAAGTCTGAGGGTGGGGCTGAGCCATGGAGCCAAAGGAAAGCATTCCCTTGCAGCCAAGCACTGGCATCACAGGGCTGATGGTCATGTCCCCTTGAGGGGACAGCCACGATCCCCAGAGCAGCAGTGCAGTTAATTTATTTAATGGTGGACAGAGGGTCGTGTTTCTTCAGGAAACATAAATTGTACAGGTTTCTCTTGTGTGTAAACTGCAATTGTAGGAGCAGACCCTGAGCTGGGGCACATGGATGTTGCCCTCTGGACCTCAGTGACATGACTGTCACATGTGCCAGAGCATTCTATAACTCAGGGAAAACAGGGAGGGAGCAGCACTCAGTGTTATCCCAGGGAGAGTTTGCAAAGGGCAAGCTGGGAACACCAAAACTGGCCTTTTTGCATCAGCAGGGGCTGGTGTTGGTAGGGAAGACCCAATTTGTGTCCCAAAGTGAATGCCACAGTAGAGCTGCTGATGCTGGGGATGTGGGCAGGGACATGGGAAGAGCAGGGCAGGGAGCAGGCAGCTGGAAAACCACCAGGAGATAAAAGAGTGGTGAGTACCAAAATGAGCAAAGAAACTCTTCACTGCCTGAGAGAGCAACACCTTCACCTGGGCAGCAAGAACCTGCCCTGGGGATGCTGGTCCTTCACCACTAGCTTGATAACCCAACACTCCTGATACTCCTCTGTGAGATCAGGGAACGGGATCCCTGTTCCCAGGTGAGATCCTGTAAAAGGGGAGGTGCTTTGGATCAAGAAAGGCAGAGAACTGATTGTCCTTGGGGTGTTAAAGCTCTTTAAAACATTTTAACAGCAGCTTGGATGCATCCAACTCCCACACACTCCCCCAGAGGAGCCCAGGGACTTCTTTAGAGAAGCCCAAAGTACCTTTAAAACCACGAGTGATATTTTATAACCATCCCAGAGCGAGGAAGCTCAGGTTAGCCCCCTTTCCAAAGGGCTGCTCTGGAGACATGGATTGGGATCCAGCCAGCTTCCCTAGGGGGACTCGATGGCAGGGTTGTTTAGGTTGGAGCTGCTGGAGACGTTGACAGAGAAAATATTTTCTGTTCCCACAGAAAGAAATCCTGCTGCAGAGTTTTTACTGAGCAAAAAGAAATGCTTGTGCTGAAAAAAAAAAAATGGGAGCTGTGGCCAAAGCACAACTGAAATGCAGAGAGCACTTGGGAAAGATTTGTTAAGCCCCAGAACTTTTGCTTGCCACGAGCAAGAGTCTCCCTGCACATGTTGCTTAAATTAATTTACCTCTGCATTAAGGAGCTTTATTTTATTAACTTTAATGTTTATAAAAGCAACCATCTGAGATGCTGTTAAACTTTAAAGATACATAAAATAAAGCCAGCCTGGAACCAGCCAAATGGGGTGAGAGAACATCTGAAAAGAGAGGGGAAAGCCAAAAAATCATCGGGGAGGGCTTGGTGCAAACAGTGCTGCTGGGAAGGGACCTGCAGGGGGGGTCAG